AACGTACCTCTCTCCAGGAGCCAGACCAATGGGTGCTATTTCTTGGGACTGTCTCGAACCCGACAGCCGCCAGGGGCGACTGGAGCACCTTGATCTGCACCAAAGGACCTACAATGCCCTTAGTGCTGCGCTCTTAAAGATCCCTGGCCAGGTTGATTCCCAAAGAATCCAAGTATTATTATGGTACAGTATATACTTATAGGGTATTTTGGGGGTCTAAGTATTAATGCTGCGCTCAAAGCCACTAAGATCCCCCACCAGCTGGGAGTTTCCGAAAATAGCGGACCCACAAATAGTAGGATCCTTATTATAAGGACCCCAAAATGAGGTACCCCCCCCCCACCCCCCAATTTTCGGAAACTCCCAGTTGATTGTAGAGTTTACAGGGTTATAGGGTTCAGGGCTTGGCACTTGGGGTGGGTGGGTGGGTGGGTGGGTGGGTGGGTTTGGGGTTTATGGTTTCGGGTTTAGGGGCCTAGCGTTGGGTTTCATGTTGGGGTTTGGCAGTATTTTGGATTTAGGGCTTCATGCACGGTTTCGGGTTCAGGGTGCGGAGAAGCCTACATCTTGGTGTTCCAAAAGTACCGATCTTACAGCTCATGGTCTATGCAAGTGCGCCCAATTTTCCGGGCTTTGTAACAAAAGGCCCAGGGTCTCGGCTTAGTAACTAGCGTTCAGGGCTAATATAGGTGTCGTCATAATTACTAATCCTATTTTGGCTATTCCTGATTATACTCATAGTATGATGGGCCCCAAAACCCTATTCTAATTATTAAGGCTCCTGTATTGGTTGAAGGCCTGTTTCGGAACGCATGTTTGCCATCGCCTTGGGCGAGCATCTACGAAATTTAAATGGATGGCCGGGATGGCTTGATTTTGTGGTCCATTTCAGAGCCCTACAAGGTGTAGCACAACTGGGTTTTATCCGACAAGTCGTTCACAAACCCATTGCTGGATTCAATCGTAGTGAATAAAACAAAACCGGGGGAGCCTTGTTCAAAGACCCTAAACCCTCAACCCGAACCCCTAAACCCGAGCCCCTAAACTGCAAAGCCTTCGAAAGATGGCGCAGGCATTTGGCCTCACATGGCCGGCAAGGCCTCAGTCTCTGCGAGGGCTCAGAGTTTATCGGATCGGGGGGGGTTTAGGGTTTAGAGTTTAGGGTTTAGAGTTTAGGGTTTAGAGTTTAGGGGTTTAGGGTTTGGAGTTTAGGGGTTTAGGTTTAGGTGTTTAGAGTTTTGGGGTCTTTATGGGTTCAGGGTCTAGGGTTCAGGGTCTGGAGTTTAGGGTTTAGAGGTTTCGAGTTGTCCCAGAGGTTTTCGTAAGAGCCTGAAGGGACTTGGCATTGAAAGGTTGTGGGAAACATGCGTATTCATCGTTTAATTAAGATATAGTGCTGAAGCTCACGGTTTTTCCAAATCGAAGCAGGTTATGCTTCTGGCCACCTGAGTTCGTGATGTTAAATTAACCCTGTCCTCGTCCTGCAATTAACCCCTTCGGCCTGCTGTTGTGAGATATAACAAAAGCATTCCTACATGATCTTCCAAGGAGAGGCTCTATTATGCCTTTATAAAGTTCAGGTGTTTTGCGTGCTGTGCGTTATCAGTCGGTGTCGGAGTCTACCGGGTATCCACTCCAGATGCTGTTGCAGTATGCTTCTGCAGGAGAACTGGATCAAGAGCATGGGCGCTCGTGCTGGAATTGTCGCGGCCTCAGTGCTAAACAGGCGCTGAAGTCTAGGAGCTACTTGTACTTACATTTCCAGCCTTGTATTCTGGAAGCGAAATACAGGCATAAGAACCCCCCCTTCCCCCAAACAACAGAAAAACACAAGCGTGCAGGTTTTACAGAGAGCTTGCATGCAAGAGACCTCCAAGCCTCCGGATGACAGGAAGATGTGGCTCCTCAGTCTTAAGCAACTCTAAACCGTAGACGCCAAAACAGTGTCTACATACATATATATATATATATATGTATAGTATCATTGCACATATAGGATGAATGGATGGATGGATGGATAGATGTACGCACGTATGCATACATGTACGTACGCACTTATGTATGTATCAATGTATGTACGTATGCACGTGCAGACGTATGCATGTGTGTATTCGTGTATGCACTCATGTATGTATGTATGTATGTATGTATGTATGTATGTATGTATGTACATATGTACGCATTTATGTACTCACGATCGCATGTACCTATGTACGTATGTGCGTCGTATGTAGCTAGGCATGTATGCATCTATATATAGGTTTATGCGTGTGTATAAATACATGTATGTATGTAGGCATGCATGCATGTATGTATGTATGTATGTATGCTGTATGGATGGATGTGTGTATGTATGTTATACATGTTTACTTTTCCATGTATTGGGACACATCATATAGCGTACAAAGTTATGCGAGCACAGACATGTATCATATGTGTGTATATATATATATATATGTGTGTGTGTGTGTAGAGGAGCCTGAAGCCTAACAGCGACATCTTCATCACTGCAAATGTCAACAGTATGACATCTGAGCTTTGGGCATCAGGGCCTTCAGGCTGGAGATGGCTTGTGGCTTTGGATTAGGTTTAGGCTTTCGGATAGAGGTCTCTATTCTCTATCTAATTGCTGCATGTCGGATTTCGGGCTGTGTGATTTTCGGTCTTAGCCTTTTGAAGCTTTGTAGGGCTAGGGTTTGGGGCACATAAGGGTTACTATGCGAACATCATCGCGATGTTCCCATTTGGGATGGGGTGAGGAATAGGGAGCAGTGCCGCCGAAAACCGCGTTTGGCGGTGAAAGATGTCAACGATCGTGAGTTTAGGGTATGGTTGAAACTTTGGGGCTTTGGTTTTGCGGGTCTGCGCCGAGGTCGGACGCTTCCTGGAGAAGAACGGCATCGGCATGGACGGGTGCATGATCTGCGCCAGGCAAGAACCCTCCCGTCAATTGTTAAACCTGACACCCTAAATCCTAAACCCTAAGACCCGACCCCGATGAACCCTACAACCTCCCAGCCAAAAACCATCAAGCTTCAGCCCTAAACACGAAAGAGGGCCATGTCCGTCAAGCGCTCCTTATTCTAAGAACATAAGGCCCATACGCGAAGGCCTGGACCGGACCATGTACAATGATGGTTTAACACCATCAACAACAAAAGCAGCAGCAGCAGCAGTACAACACCATCATGAGCACAGTCATAACCATACAAACGCTGTCAAGAAACATAAACACAGCGACCTATAGTCAGCAGCACATCCACTTGCATACTACTAATTGTCGCGAGCCTTGTTTCGGCACTATGTAAGAGAATCCACTGTGCAAAAATCGACCCCGTTCATAAATCAACATTGAAACCATCAATTTTCGAGTTTTGTGTTTTTTCGATTGAATTTACGCACACACTCCTTTTTGCATCCATTTTTCTGTATAGCCAGGGGCCCTGGCGGGGTGGGTGGGGGGCAGTCGGTGGTTGCACGTTGTTGGCGGTGAAGTGTAAACTGTAAACATGCGAGTTGTGAGTTGCGCGCTGTCGGTTGTGAAGTGTAAAGTTGCGAATTGTGAGTCCAGTGGTTGTGCATTGAGTGGCTGGTAGCGGATTGTTCGCCCGAAATCTAACTAGGCTAGGCGGCAGGACCCTTCGCCGCGAGTAGAGGCAGGTAACTAGGCGGCAAACCCTTCGCCGCGAATAGAGTCGGGTATCTAGGCGGCAGGACCCTTCGCCGCGAGAGTAGAATCAGGTAACTCGAAGGCTGCAAGCCCTTCGCCGCGTAAGCCCTAAACTTCCTAAACCCCACCCGCCCTACCCGACCCGGCCCCACCCGCCCAGTCTTGAGTCGTCAGGTGTGCAGTGCTCAGTTCGTGAGAGTAGGGCCCGGGCCAGTTTTGTGTAGGGTTGGTTTGTGATTTGGCTGTGCAGTGCAAAGGGGTTAGATCATTACACCCTGTCCTAAACCCATCCAAGCCTATTGGGAGCTTCAGACTTCAGCTGCATTCGGCCACCGGGGCGTAGAACCAACATATGGGGCCCTAATGATTAGAATGGTGTTTTGAGTTTTGATGTTCCATAGGTACTAATAGGGGACAGTGCATACTCATGTTCATCCCGTAACCGTACTCATAGCATAATTAATCCTCACCATACCCACACCCCTGATCAGAATGAGCATCAGTACATAAATAAACACACCATCAATAAGCAAATGCAGTACTGATTGTAAGGATAATGAGGATGCTAAGGATATCAGCAAACGCAGATCATAAGGAGGACAACGGTTATGAGGATGGCATGGATAACAATATGCAGTACTGTAGTAGTGATAACCATAACAGACACAGTAAGGACTGTAATGGAAATATCAGTGAGCATTGTCAAAATCATCATCGTCCCAGTAGAAGAAGAAGCAGTATGAGTAGCAGCTGTAGTAGCAGACAGTCGCAGCGGTAGCAGCAGCAGTCGTAGATAGTCGTCGTAACAGCAGTCGTCGTGGTACTCGTCGTAGTAGCAGTCGTAGTAGAAGCTGTTGTTGTGGTTGTTGTTGTAACAGTGACAGCAGCTGTAACCGTTTTCCCTAGGTTCCCAGCCTAAACAGGCTCAGAACCCCGACACTCTCAGACCTGAGCCCAGATCGGCCCGCAAAACAGATGCTCCAGCAACCCTAAACCCGAAACCCTAAATTAAATTTGAATCCTACCTGCAAAGCCAGTGTACCTTAATGAAGTGCAACCGGGGAGTGTTGTATATAAAATGGGCAACTGGCTAAAGTGTATCTTTCTTGTGGTCCCACATCCCTGGACCTAGATGCCAAACTTGACAGAATCTGATCGAGAAGCCACAAAGAAGATGAAAATCTGTATCCGGAAGGGTAAATGCTGAACTGCGAATGCAATATGATGCAGAAGCTCGCACGAACAAGTGTCATCATCCGAAAGAAACGACTTGGCCTCGTAGGGTTTTCTGAAAAGAGCAACCCGATAGCTCGCAAACGTTTTTTTCCATTCACCATCGCAACGCTAAGTTGAGCAAGTAGCGCTGCACAGTGCGATCATGCACTGTGCGGATCGATACGTTGCGAGACTGGCCAGCCACACGGCCGATGAAATCTTCATCCATCTGACACGAAAAGGCCAGGATGTTTAAGCCCAGAACACCGTCGCTGGCGTTCTTTCGGAGCGAATGGATAAGGTGAGCCATCAGGTGGAATTTTGGCATATACTTGAATCGCGGCCGTCCCAGGCTCAGAGCATGCGCTGCCGCAGCACGGAAAGATCTCAAGAAGATCATTCCTTGCCTGGCCATCTTCCCAGAGACTTCAGGCATTACCCACAGCGGCTGAGCATACACCGATCGCATGAACACGTTCATCGCCACAAGTCCATTAAAGATGGGCGTCAGCACATTCTCGAGCTCGGAATTACAATCAGCTAGAGCCTGCTTGTACCTCCATTCCAAATATTTCATAATGATCGTGGTGTCGTTTCCTTTGAACCACCGCCTCAAAGATAGACCCGATAGGCAACTATATAGAACTCTTCGTACATATATAAACACAAACCGCCGAAACAGACACCAAACACACCCAGACTCGCAACCGGAAAGTCAGCAGAAGTGTCCAGGCCAATTTGGTTCTTTGTCAGTGACGTCATATGCAAATTGTGGCCAGCAGACTTGCACCAGTCTCGAAGCTCGTCGAAGAGACCTTCCAAGCGTTGGGGCAGTCTACCGGTGCCGACGATGTCGTAATCGAGCAATGTCACCTTTGTGCCCATATGAAAACACCGACCCGATCGAGTTTGTACAGTATGAAAATTACATAAACTCAAAACACAGGCAACGATTATTACTGAACTCACGAAGCCGCCATAGCCGATGCAGCATAGTCTCCGACCACACCCTTGTGTGCGGCATGGAACAAATCAATGCAGTAAAACGCAGAGAGATTGCCACGATCTTGCGGAAGCTGTGCCAACGGGCTAGGAACCGTCCAGGGCACAGGAACGTCACTATGGAGCCACTTCGCGCTCGACTCAAACTCGTGCCAGGGATGGTTGTTTTGGCCGGCCCTGCAAAGATGACAGATCCCGGGCGGAGAACCGCTCACAGGAGCATCTCTCAGATGATGTCTTGTAAGACGGCCAGCTTTGGTCAGAGCTGGCCAATCGCCTTTGCAATTAATGACAACAGGCCAGACCCTCGATAGCCCGGGAATCCCATCGATCTGTATCCCGTTCTGGTAGCAATCGTTGAGATCATCAGTCCAGTGCTGCAGCAAATCGTATAAGATTTTTTTCTTCCTGGTGTAAGTCCTTGCCAACAGCACGGAATACAAGAACCGAGTGCAGAAGGTGCTGCCGGTGAAGTTGATACCAGTGCTTGTGCTGCTGCTTTGCCTGGAGCCCCTGCCACAAACCGGCTGTACCGATAGTACCATGATCCCCTTTTTCTTGAGGGAAGTACCCTCATCCAGATGTAGCATCATGGGCACACAGGCATGCAGGCGGGTAGCATGGTCATTGAATATATCATGCTGCGGGTGGAGCTTTTGATAATTATACCAAAAGCTTCGCAATTCAGCAGGACCATTTCCCACCAACAGATGATCAATCCTGCCGACACGGTTGAATGTCTCAAGAATAGATCGCAACGGCAATGTAGGATGGGCTTCCTTGAAACCAATCTTTTTGTAAGTCACAGGTACAGGGGCTTGCAACCCATGTTGCTCCAAAGTTTTAGGCAACCTGGGCTCATGGCCAGTGGAATGCAGCCTGTCCAACTCTTTCAGAAACCCCATGGAAGGCATCGGCTCAGGCGCCTGTAACTCTTTGTACATAGCTGAAGCCATTTTGCAAGCATGCTTCTCGCTTACCTCAGATTGACATCGTATCGGAAGAACACACGAAAGAAACTTAAATCGACTACTGTAAGATTGGAGCAACCGAACCATTTCTAGATGCTTAATTATATAAACCATAAAACTATATAGGCACCTTAGCCGATACCCTGGCTATTGAAAGGCGAAGCACCCCAGAAGCCACACATTCGGCTATAGTTTTCGCTAGTGGACCGCATGATCCAAGCGATCCAACCCGTCGGCGCTTTGGCTTTGGCTCACCTGCGTGGCGGGGCTGCTCGGTGCTCATCATTGTTGGGCCGTTGGGTTCAAGCAGTGTCGGTCTATTGGATCGCTTCCAGGCTTTTTTGAGAGCGGCACACGGTTTCATCCGACCCTGCACCACATCGTTCCCCTGAACTCAAGATTTCCCCGTGGTTGCCAGTACAACTCGGGAGTGTAAAGACCTATTGGAGCCGATGGAGCCTGACCCTAACAAGCATATACCACAAATTACCTAGATTATAGGGCTCACGATATAAGCTTGTGCTACGAATCAGAACTCCTTGAACGGTTTAGCTCCAATAGCTTTTTGGGTGAAAAGTGAGATCGGCACTCTCACGAACCCAAGGCCAGCCGTGCTCTTGTGCGGCTGTGCAACGATGCGAGGACTCCCGGCGGCGATTTTACGTAGGCCTATAGGGGTCTAGTCGATTACATAGGCTAGGCAGTGAGTACACTTCCGGGTCGTGCCCAAGCACCTTAAACCTACTTGGCCTTGTTTGTCTTGCCTCCCTTAGGCTTGGAAGGGTTCTGAGCAACCTTCTTCTTGCCCCTCTTAGGAGCCGGAGTCTCCTTGGGAGCCTCCTTCTCCCCCTTAGCCAGCTCAGCCTTCGAAGTGGATTTCTTCAGCAACGTCCTGCCAATTGCAGTTGCCAATGTAAATATTATATAGTCATGTCTAGAGGATGGAGGACCATCAACGAGGGGTTAAATACACTTTTCATTGCATAGATCAACTTATTGTAGAAGCGTCCTGGTACTTTTAGTAATAGGTGTAGCAGTAGTGGTGGTACTAGTCGTCGTAGTAGTAGTAGTAGTAGTAGTAGTAGTAGTAGTAGCAGTAGCAGTAGCAGTAGCAGTAGCAGTAGTAGTAGTAGTAGTACTACTACTACTACTACTACTATACTTAGAAGTAGTAGTAGGAGTAGTTGTAGTACTAGTCGTAGTCGTAAAAGTAGTCCTAGTAGTAGAAGTCGTAGTAGAAGTGCTAGCAGTAGTAGTTGTTGTTGTCGTTGTATAGTAGCAGTAGTAGTAGTCGTAGTATAGTAATAGTAGTACTTGTTGTTGTCGTTGTTGTTGTTGTCGAGGTCGTTGTTGTTGGTGATGTTATTGGTGGTGGTGTTGGTTGTGGCAACGGCAGTGGTGGTGGTCATAGTGGTGGTGGCGATGGTGGCGGTGGTAGGTGTTGCTGTTGCTGGTGTTTGTTGTTGTTGTTGTTGTTGCAATTAAACCCCATCCCTCAACCCTGAACCAAACAGAAGGCTCGCCTTACAATGATTCCCAAACGTGTCTCGAAGGTTTTGGGTTTGGGCTTAATATAAGGGTTGGGGGCTGACATTTCGGGTTTGGGAGGAAAGGTTTATAGGGTGCAGAGATTAGGTGGGCCCATGTCGTCGTCGTAGTGATAATGGTAGTGGCAACAACAGCGACAGCAGTAGGGAGTGGTGGTAGCAGTGTAGTATATGAACAACACAAGCAGCAGTCGCAATAGCAATAGCACTAGGAATGCCATCAGCGGCAACGGGAGAAGTAGTCTTAGTGGAAGTCGTCGTCGTAAAACCACAGCACACAAGCATAATTGGCACAGGCACAAGAAAACCCTCACAATCATATATAACCATATTCATCAGCATCACCATCACCATCAAGCAATCGCCTTCATCACCCCATCGTGGCAACAACAGACATGTGTTGCTTGCAATCCTCCTCAGCTTGGTCTCCTCCATGCTGAATCTGGCACACCTCGGGACGGGGGTCTCGGAATTCAAATCGTTGGGGCTTGGGGCCACTGCTGCAGCTAATATAAGGGCTTGGCGTTTTTTCGGCATCCACAACGATGGCATGCAGCTTCTCGAGTGACCTAGATGCGGCAGCTAAAGGAATTCGGCGTTGCGGCATCGAATCGGAGTTTGATGCAACTAAGCTGCTTGTCACAGAAGGTTTTCTTCGAGCCAGCGTAGGATGCTCTGATTTCGGCGAGCTCGTCGTGATAGCCACTCAGCTTAGTTGCATACTCTTGGATTGTCGACAAAGACCTTAGATGCGGTTGGATCATATCAACACACTACGACATCTCTCAATAAGCAATGCGACATTACTTTAGAGCCTGCAGCCGAAAGTCTTCTTGGATTTGTCACACGTCAACTTCTCAAGCTTGCCCGCACAAGCCTCCACCTTCGTCTGGGCACGAAGGAGCTGGTCCATGACCTCGCCGGCGTTCTCGATCGCCTGGTGAGGCGAGGTCTTCTAAGCGGTTGGGGCTTGTTGAGTTCCTGTAGGAGTGGCCTCGGCTCGGGCTTCCTCTTCAAGCTCGGCTTTCTTTGGGCTTCCGGACTTTGAGGATGGGGAGCTTTTGCTTCGGGTGTTCTTCTTCTTCTTCTTAACACTTTTTGACTTCTTTGACTTTTTGTCCTTCTTGCTTTTCTTTGCTTTGCTGCGCTTGCCTTTCTTTGTCTTCTTTGCACTGGATGAAGAGGCACTGTTGCTCGAGTTTGAGGATTCTCCACTATCATTATCAGCATCATCGCTCTCATGGTCCGTGCCCTCGGCCCGGTCATCATCTTCGTCGATCTCGATCTGCCGCTTGTCGCTCCATGCCTCTGACTGCAGCAGCTCGTAGCTGCCTTTGGTCTCCTCCTCCACCCAATACTCGACCTTGCCTTTCTCGTACTTGTCTCTCCTGTTGCATGCATGAAAAAGGCCAGGGCGAGGTAGGGGTGCATGCGTGTAGAGAAAAGAACAGGCCTTGTGTGGGTCTTGATGCGCTTGGGGTTGGTGCAAAACTTGATGACCTTCTTGATTCGCTGCCTAAGCGGTGAATAGGACTACACAAAGAGACCCCACCCACCCACCCATGCACACACATAGACATCACACGGATTGAAGGCTATAGGGTCTCATGGAAGCTAGCAGCACAAGGCCCCGACGGAGCAAATTTCAACTGTGTGCGCATCTTCTCCTTTGTGTACCATCCGCACACGATCGTAATCTTATTGGTCTTACTCTTGATGATCTGAATCTCGATCGTGCGCTTCCACACATCCTCGGGCTAGGGTCGGGGAGCTCGCATTGATTCGAACACCAAAGTGAACCTGGAATACCTCCTAGGAACAGGCTACATTATATATATATATATATAAGTTTAATAACCCACAACGGCCCTAGCAGTCCTTGTTTCCATCACATTTCATCATTGTGCGGATAAGATCATTCTTTAAATCACCCCCTGCATCCCATCTCTTCACAATCTCCGGTGTGGCATTCACAGACTTGGACCGAACTGTCGGCTTCACCATGCGACGAACCTTTGCTTCGGCTCTTCGCCAAGCTTTGCTAACATCCTGAGTACAGGCAAGCTCATGAAACGTGAGCCACCATAAATCAAATATACCCCATCTATACCCCATTTAGGTTTTGGTTAGGGTACATTATCCTATATCAGGCCCTAGGATGGCTGTGACTTTTGGACCTCTGAGGAGTAGCAATGACATAGCCCACACCTGGACTGGAGATTCGATCGGTATCAGCCAGCTATAGAAGTCTATATTTACATATATGTATATACGTAGATAGAGAGAGAGAGAGAGAGAGAGAGAGAGAGAGAGAGAGAGAGAGAGAGAGAGAGAGAGAGAGATCATACATGTACATGTGTATGTATATGTACACGTGCATGTATATACAAGGAGGGAGACATACCACACAGAGACAGAATGAGCGAGACGAAGGGAGAACGAGATAGGGAGAGGGAGCGAGAAGGGAGAACGAGATAGGGAGAGGGAGCGAGAGAGGAGAGAGAGAGAGAGAGAGAGAGAGAGAGAGAGAGAGAGAGTCTGTGTGTGTGTGTGAGAAAACTATATCGAAAGACCCGCAGCCTTCCCAGTGCCAAGGTCCAGCTCTTCAGGCTTCGACTTCGCTTCATCGGACGCCCTCGACTTCGGCTTGCCGTTCTGTGGAGAAGCCTCCTCCGAGACTGCATTGGATAGGGTTTTAGTTATATAGGGTTTTAGGATAGGTGGGGGTGATCTACACATAGGTCGGGTTGCGCATGCACTGAATTGTGTCGTGGGAAGTGGCTGAACGAGCCATGTCGTCTTGACAAGCATGAGGATGATATGTGCATGGCTCCTCCTCTTCGATCTTCTCGCGCTCGTCTGGGGAAGCCTCCGTCGAGATTATATTAATTGTTTGTAACGGCGGACTGTGATGTAGGTGGGTACACACGTGCCGTGGGAAGTGCGGTCTTGACTCTGGGGGTGACAAGTGGGAATTGGGGATTTGTATAGGGTTTCGAGCATGTCCTGAATCGATGCAGCCTCTAGAGACCGGATCATGTTCTCCAACTCCGTCTCCTCGGCATCGGCACCGTCCTGCAGCCAAGGTATGGCTATTGGCACCACGGCAGATTGGCTGAGCATGGAAACATCTACCTGCAGGACTTCTGGGATGACTATACATGTGGTATTCGGGGATCACAGTCAGTCCTCGTAGGGGTCCTCTGAAGCGCTCGGTACGGCTTGCTGTTTGCTAGGGCTAACCAGCTCCTGCTTAACTGGCGTCGGCGACCCTGAAGTTGCTGTGGTTGTGGCTGGGCTCCTTGCCTTGTTCTTGTCGCCTGGACTTGCCTCCTTGCCTGGATTGTTCTTCTGGCCTGGGTCGTTGGGACCTTTGATCTTGTTGCTCTTCGGATCTGCACTGCTGTTCTTGGGTGGACTGCTGTTCTTGGCTGGACTGCTGTTCTTGGGTGGACTGCTGTTCTTGGGTGGACTGCTGTTCTTGGCTGGACTGCTGTTCTTGGGTGGACTGCTGTTCTTGGCTGGACTGCTGTTCTTGGGTGGACTGCTGTTCTTGGGTGGACTGCTGCTCTTTGGGCCTGGACTGCGGTTGCGTGCGGACGGATTGCTCTTCTCGGGCATTGCGCTTTTCTTAGGTGTTGGGGTGCGGCTGCGAACCCTCTTGCTTGGAGTGCTCGGCTCAACTGGAGTTGCCGGAGCACGTGGTCGCGGCATACGAAGCAGCTGAAGATGCTTCCTTGCAGCCTGAACAAGCAAAGTGGATCTGGCTAGTGCAATCATGACTGGGCCAAAGTATGAGCTTGATAGTGTAAGCAGGACACCTCAAGCTTCTCTGTAACACTGAGGGAGTCATCAAGCTGAAACTTCTGCTTCGCCATGAAAGATTGCCCCGTGAGGAGGCTCGTGCACGACCACGTCTTCGATGGAAGTGCCACAGGAGCTTTCCGGGAGGCCATGATAGACAAAATGTCACTTCGGGCCACAAAGACCAATACCATTCATGGACAACACGTAGCTGCTTCTGGGTGACTCAGTGCACACTAGTCTTGATTTCGGCAGGACAAAGTGACGGGAATATGGGTACAGACGGTACGCTTTTGTACGCCACTTTGCGCCATACGTACGCCACTGTACGTTTTGAGCGTCACTGTGACCAGTTCTAGGTTTGTCACGAAAACCGACAAACACAACCCAACACTGAAAAGTAGCACCAGTGATCATTAGTTTTATCTAACCCATAGGCTAGTTTAACCTAGTATATAATGGTCACCGACAAGGTCACTTGCAAAACTAGCAGCTGCAGTTGTTCAAACAACAGCAACTGAACCTCAAGTTTGCCACCATAATTACCGCTGACCCTCTTATGTGGCTCCATATAGATCAGGGGGGCCCGGATATGTTTAACTACATAGGAGGCAAACTTGCAGGGAGCAAAGCCTTCCACTCCCCTGGCAACGCCAGGTCCTTGGCTCCTCGGAGATACACGATGACCTCTGCCATGTGGGCGTCGTCCCACAAATCTTGATACAGTGCCTTGTCCGACAAAGCCACCTTTGGGTCCGAGGCTTGCAGCATCGGTCGATCCTGGAGGGGTAGGGCCGGGTAGGAATATCTTTGTTGAGTTGTCAGGGTTTAACTGCGGGTTGAAGTTTGGTAGAGATGCAGAGAGGTCCTGATGACGTACCGGAGCTTGTTCTGCCAGCAGTCGTGGAAATGCCCGCACAAATCGCAGCCCGAACGGGAAGGGGTATTGCCTGGGCTTTGATTGTTATGGCGCTTGTCGGAGCACACTGCATGTTTTTCCACACGTGCTGCTACTCCATGCATGAGCCACATTTGACTACACACGTAGAAAGCCCCAGTAGTCCAAACATGGGTGCAGGTGTGGGTTCTGCAATATATATTACTGTAATACCATTCAGGGCACCCAGAAGATTTCAAGAGGGATGCTTTCCCAGTGAACCGTTTCCTGCCCTTGCTGTCCACATGCCTGGTAACCAATGTAGTTTGGAGCCTCGCCTTTTCCAGATGTCCGAGAGGTCTCGGGTCGAGGAATGCTGCTATCCCTTTACTGTTCGACCAAAGCCGGGTCCTCTTGGGCGACCTTGCACCGAAGCGGCACATCCAGAATCCAGCTCGGAATGCCTTGCACAGATCTGGGATAATCATTACATATATATATATATATATATATATACACGTCACAAAAGTGCGATGGTACTGTCCGAACGGGATTTTCGGAGGGTACCTTAGGGAACTCTGGTCTGAAAGCATATATTGGGTATATTATGTAGGGTCACTACATTATAGTAACGAGTCTGCAGGTTATCGTTGGGTTGTTTCAATCGAGCTTGCAAAATTTGTAGGACACAAAAGGCGAAACCTTGTATGCATTCTTCGGGCTGTACAAGAGAACCCGGCGATATTCTGGGGATTGGGCTTTTGTAGGACTATATCGGGCCGTGTTTGTTCGGATCCTACAGGGTTATACAGTTTTATACACTCCAGAAATAAATCTGCTTGCTAAGGCCTATAACTGGTTCTAGATTTGCATAAATTATCATGACACTCGCTTCACTATCAACCTCAAACCCGGGTCGGCTTGGATCTAGGGCTCTTGCGTTCCGGATATGTAAGGGATGCCAAGGATCAGGTTCCGAGACTGCGGGGCGATTTGGGAGAAGGGTCCCTATAGATGTGTTTGGGCCTTGGTCGAGCTGCTAGGATACCTTTGTTTCGGGTTTTAGCATGGCGTTTCCAGGGATGCTTCAAGATATGCAGGCTGAACTGCATTCTTCGATGTATCTATACATAGAGGACCGATGCATTGGAACTGCTAGGATATAGCATTGGTACCAAAAGTTTACAAGCTCGAAGGGGGCCTATGATTCCGAGGCACTCGTGACACCTTCAGCAGCTGCTGCATGCGCGGGTGTCTCCAGATCATCGAAGACGAAGGTTGCTCGAGCAGCCAGGTACCCCCTTTAGCAAGAATGAGGTATATAGCCAGGCACATCCTTTGCACATAAACGGAATCGGTTTCGTTACCTATGCCTAAATCCTAATAGGTACTGATATAAATATATATATATATATATATATAACACAATATATGTATAACAACAAAAAATAATAATAACCCAGCGAACGGAGGCCCCTAAAACAAACACCGGCCGAACCTCAACCAAAGGTCGGGGATAGGGAACATAGAGGGTCCTGTACATACGATATATATACTCGACCTAGTCTATACCCTTAGCGAGTATATCCCATACAACATGTAAGCCCCATAAAAGCTGCACATTATATCAGACCTGTAGACCCCAATAGTAATCCTATGAGACCTATATGGAAGATAAAACCCTATACTAAATCCTCGGGGAACTACGAAACCCATCCCTGTAGATCCGTCCTGCTGCAAAGAATGTTTGAATCCTCCACACGTTTGTTTGTCCGGTCACCAAGCGGGACAAAATATGATCGTTTGGTGGAGTGCCTGGAAACTGTAACCCAGCTCGAACATTCCATTCCAAAGCAGATGACAAATGCGCCATCCTTGGCCTTCAGGATGCTATGAAGTAAGAGCCTCGGTTGGTACAAGGATCTTGTCGATGGCTCTATACAAGAACCTCGGGTCTTTGGAGAAATCTACAAGACAATCAAATAAAGAACAGTATATATATATATATATATATATATATCTTTCGGTGAAGTAGGAGATGGACGTCATCCTGCATGACCCGGTGTGACCCATAACACCAGAACTATATCAGTATACATATATATATATATACTAAATCTAGAACACTTATAATGGTACATATGTATTTATCTAGTTAGGGACCATGCAGGATTTCGTCCATCACAAGTATTTCGATCGGGATAAGGCAGGTAGACCAATATTATATATATATATACACTAGAAAATTTCACACATCTTCCTACCTCAAGCCTAGAATCGCCATCCCTGCAGGAGTGCACAGATCCATGGGATTCCGACATGGTTTTCCCGACCCAGCATCCTTAAAGCCATCCCAGAAATCGAGTTCCAGGGCAGCAACACAGTAGCCTGCCATCCCCAAGTGGGCAGTCCGGCACCCGGCCCACTCCGGCACGTTCCTGGCGACACCGGCTGGGCTGACACTCTGGTTTCACCTGGCCATGTGTTTTGGAGCCGCGGCGTCGGTTTGGAATTTTAACAGGGCCGCGGACGCGATGCAGGCGCTGACCCGCGTCCTGCTGTGGCTGGTCGGCGGCCACTTCGTGGACGACTTTAACGGCGTCGACCTCCCGGAGCTCGCGGAGTCGGCCTTCCACTCCCTGGCGGACCTCTTCCTGGAGCTCGGCCTGCAGACCAAACCAGCTGGCGGCGACCAACTGGGAATACGTCCGGAAGCGAGCCTCGGCGGCGCAGCCCGGCAAGCACTGGGAGACCCTCCTCACGGAACTAGTGGCGGAGGCCCGGCTTGGCAGGGTGGTTGGTCCGGCGGCCCCGCCGGCTGGGTGGAACATTGTCACCGTGCCGGTGCTGAACACGCCCGGCGCCGACCGGCTGGTGCCGCCGCCCCCTGGCCGCCATTTTGCCGCGGCGTCCTTCGCCATCGTGCAGGAGGACGGCGAGGGGAAGGGAGGACTGGCGGCGCTCGGGTCACAACTCCACGATCCTGGCGCGGGACGTCCCCACCCACCATTTCGTGGATGACGTGGTGGACTTCATCCAGCGCGTGGTGGAACTGGCAGGGAATCGTGGGGTCCCGGCGGCCAGGCTGTTCGGGCACGACCTGCTCAATGCCTATCGTAGACCTGCGGGGATTAGGTTTGGGTTTGGTTTTGCACCGTCGTCTAAATAATATCTGGCCTGGTCCAAATTCATCGCAGTATTGAAGACGAGGAGCACAACGACATAGAGTAGAACCTTACAGGTTTAAGGTTCATAATTTATAGGATAGGGTTTAGGGTCGAGCTGGAAAGCAGCGTCAAATCTCACCCAGCCCAGGCACCCCTGGAACATTCAGCTCCAAAAGCCGACGGAGGAGGCTATCCAATTGACATGGAGTCATGACAAAGGGGGCCCCCGAAAGATGCCCGACAAAGCAGCACCACTCCAGTTCGAGCAAGATGCCTGCTTCAACATGGGTGCACACATATATATATATATATATATATATATATACATACACTCACCACTCCGGGCACCATGAACCCTTGCATCTCTGCAGGCACGGTGGGGGAAGCCTGCGGCCGGGACTGCGCCTGCCGACGGCACGAATCTATGCCGCGCTTTCCAGGAAGAGCTCATCTGGGCACCTGGCAAGTGCAGCTTTGGGCATTTGGGTCATTTGGGATTTCATAGAACAAAATCTATCACCGATTGGGGGTTGTGAGTTTGTGGCGGCAGATCTTGCAAGTGAAAGCAGATACACAGTTCATCGTACTCAAAGACGACAGGTGAGTACTTGCATGCAATCAGATCGAGGCACTCGGATTGTTTTGTCGTTGCCCTCCTGAAGCAAACTGTTCGTGACTCAGCCGATCCCCAGCTGCAACTAGAAGCCATCACCACCTCTAGGCACAGGCTCTAATGGAGGATGCTGCCATACACACACACAAAACAGTCTATAGAACATACGACATACATATGTAACAAACTTTTGCACTATCGTGAACCTTGACAGCACATCCCTACCCGTGCTCGGCGAAGGCTTTGCCCAAGCATCACAGAAGTGGTACTGTGATGCGAAAACACCAGCGATGGACTGTATGTAGCTGCTGTAGCAACCACGGCGTTTTTGCAAGCAGCCCCTAAAAAGGCCAGCCCGAAACACACAGACACACACATGTAGCATGCCAGCAGAAGGATTGCCAACTACATCATTGTATCGTGCACACCATTAGACGATGCATGAGATCAATTTACTCCTCAGGGCATGCCACTGCATTCCACCGCTTTCCATGGAAATTCGTGCGAAGGCAAGTGCCGCAACCGAGCACACCCCAGCGGCAGCTCGAACACCCGAGGGTCAATCGGCCACACTTCGAGAAGCCACTGCGATTCTTGCGATCAGGGCTAAGCTTTAGCCGGTACTCCCCATCAGCCTCATCTAAAGGATTCGCACGACTCTTAGCCTTTGCTTTCGCCTTCGCCTTCGCCTTTGCTTTGGAAACCGGCTTCTCTGCACAGGCCTTTGCCTTTGCTTTCGCCTTTGCTTTCGCCTTTGCTTTCGCCTTCGCCTTTGCCTTTGCCTTTGGCAAAGGCAAAGACTCCTCGGGCTCGGGCTCGGTCTCACATGTGGCCTTGGCCTTTCGCTTGCCACGGCGAGGCACAAGCTGCTCAATCTCCGGGTCATCCTTGGCGGTCTTGGGCTTCCGGCCGCGCTTTTTCTTGGGCTTCTGCTCTGCGTCGTCGTCACCCTGGCTCTTCTTCCCCCCACGCATGCGGCGGATCGACGCCCGGATGGTGTTCCGAAGCTGGTTCTGGGCCTCCACGGACACAGCGAGAACTGGGCCAGACTCCCGGCCCGGAGACGACGGCTCCTGCATGCAATCCCCCCTCCCACCACCCCCACACTCCCAAACAAACAAACCGTGCACCGAATTAGATGCATAAATCTACAGAAATTTCACACACGACGAACTTTCTGAACCCAAGCCTGTTTGATTTTCTCTGGGCTGGAATCTACGTCGACGATCGGAGCATGCTCCGGAGCTTCTGTGGGCCGCTCCACCATGGTGTCCTCCTGCAACTTGCGATTGATTATACAACTCGTCTCAAACATATTCTCACATAGTCGATCTATCCTGAAAACACATTCCTACCTGAGTGAAGGCAACAACCTATTAGGATGTGGACGTCTACCTATGAGTTGCACAGATGCAATATTTTTGTCGATCGATGAACATACCTGTCTACATATCTGCCTTTCTATCTGTGTATAGGCAAATATGTAGAATGGCAGATATCCACATACGCATTTTTCTATATGTTCTACTCATCACATGCCACAAGACCCCCCATGTTTTTTAATGTTAATCCGTACACAAACACACATACATACCTACCTGCACAACTACCTGCCTCTACTGTATATATACCTACATCGGTACAGCTGTTTTTACATTATTTGCAGAAACTGGCCCAATGCTCCTGATCAGGCGGATTCTTCCAATCGGGTGCACGCTCGTGCTCGCCAAAATCGAGCTTCCTCTTGCAGTCGGGTGCAGGATCCATGGCACCTGCTAGGTCTACTATGGGTAGCTGGGGATGGCATACTGGCTCTTGCAAGTCAGGTATGTAACCAGGGTGGGTTGGACTTATCACGAACCGGGCCTTCAGGCTTCGAAGCTTGCTCAGGCGTACCCATCCGCATCAGCAGTCGCTCGTGACGAGCAATTTCCGGACTCATGTCGCCGCCGCCCTCCTCGAGGGCTATCTGCTGCAGCAATCGCTGCAACTCATCCTCCTCAGCAGCGGTGACACCACCCACATAGGAGGCCGGGGTCTCCACAGCAGGGGAAGCACCAAGAACGGCCGTGGTCGGAAGGGATGCCAAAGTCGATTTCGACCTGTAGCGCCAGTAAGGTTTCTTAGGGGCCTGCGCATCCTCTTGGGAATCCAAAGGCACTTCGCCGACTCCACGACCATCGTCCTTGGCCACGGCACCATCGTCCTTGGCCACGGAACTCGCCTTGGAGCTCTTGGCCTCACTTGAGCACGTGTCTTCCTCCCGGCCCGCATTCTTGGAATCGTCAGTCTCATACCCCTCCGACTCCCCTTCCACGATTGAATCCTCCTCCCCCACTTCCTCTTCTCCTTCCTCTTCATCATCATCGTCATCGCCATCGTCTGCATCAGTCTGCTCGTCCCGAAGGCTTTGGATGCTTGCAAAAAGGTCCCGGACACCCTGGGCCTCGGAAGCAGGGACCCCATACAAATTTTACTCACTCCGAAAGAATCCAGAAACACAACAGGCCACAACTAATATAACTTAATTGATCTTAAGAAGCTCGAGGCTTCTGTCCGCGCTTCTTCGAATCCTTCTGTCGTCTCAATGCGAAGCTATAGAGCCTCCTGAGATCCCAAGCATCGCAATAGTATTGTCGGGGTCCCATCGCCGGAACACAAGTCATCTTCTCGTAGAGTTTCTTCACCTCAACTGGCTATATACTTTATTCTGTCATTTAAAAAGATCCCTTATATGAATTCCATTCAACTACTGGGCCCAAATACCTGCTGCGAATTTCATGGGCAAGTAACGGAGGCTTCCAGCTTCGTAATGGGGACCTTCTTACCACTCAACACTTTGTAATGCGATACCATCACCTGCAAAGCCGTGCAGTTCATCTCCATGGCCCTAGTGGATATAGGATTTTCCGCCTTCTCTGCATCATCCGTCTCCGGAGCAGGCGGGAAATCCATCAAGCCCTTTTTGATTCGGAACCGCTTCCTAATCAACTTCTCCTTCTCGAAGGCTTTCGCCAACACTTTGGCGGTTGCCATGGCTCCTACAGAACCACTGCAAAATCGCACAGTCCTTGATCAAGACCTAGCGAGATTCCATCTATGCAATGCAACCCATCGGAGCATACGTAAGCCCTGCAGCTCGGCATGCACAAGCGAGCAAGGCGACACCGGCAAAGTCCACAGTGGAAAGCCACCATCATCTGCCCCACATCCTGCAAGTTCTGCATCCCAAAGAGCATGTATATGTACATGTGTGGTAAGGGTATACATCTGCACATCGCTTGCACACTTCTGGGCGCAACAGTAACGATGCATGACGTGTGTTGTACCATTGATGTACATGTATGTATGTATGCGATTATTTCGATATATATATATATACACACATATATAGGGCCCTGCATGCTTAATTGGTCGGTCCTCTAAGGTATATCTCCATCCACGGAGCCATCGCCATCGTGGCAAAAAGCGTGCTCACGCACCGGGGTGTTTCCGCTACATCTATAGTTTATAATTTAAAGGTAATTGCGGAAAAGACATGCTACCTATTCCGAAGCTTTCCGAGAAGCTACAATGATGCTACCAGCTGCCCTCGGATCCTTCTGAGGCCACGATTGTCCCATCCAATTTGAACTCCAGCCCAATACATACATATATATATACACATACATCAATATCCCATCTACATATCTGAACCCCAGCACAATCATTCCAAGATAGTCCCAAGCCCCCTTTGCTAAATTGACTGCAAACTGCTGAGCTGCACTCTGATCCACTGTGGCTTGCTGCCTGGCGGGCCACAACATCATGCGGAAATCCTGAGTGTTTCGGTTCACCTGGGATGTTCGGGGGCAGGATGCAGGGTTTAAGGAATATATTTCATGACGGATGCAGTGCCTTTGAGGATTTCTGAAATCCCCAAAGTACAGAATGATAGACTTTGCCACTGTGATGCTTTTATTAGCAACTATCTACAGTGACAGAAATAATGGTGAACCATGTCACTGTGATGTTTCTTTAAGCTACTTTCGATAGTTTAGCTTTATTAAGGGCAACTAAGGCGTTCCAGGTACTATCCTAAACCCTAAACCCTAAATCCTAATCCTTAAACCCTGTAAGAGGTACGGCCGCGGCACGCAGTCGAACTTCGAAGGCCATGTAGGCGGCTTGTGGCATTTTAAGAGCCTCGACCGCGTTTCGATTCGTTCGTTCATTTCTTTGGGGTGCAGGGTCTATATGATGTGTTTTGCGTAGGTTATGGTATGGCTACATTTCTCATGGTATTCCCTAGTATATTCTGGAATTACTCCAGTAATTCTAGCATGTTGCTGTAATTCCTAGTACAGCATGTTACGGTATACTGAAGTATACGATGGTGGCGGTAGGACTTGGCATCTTCCCGAGTCTTTGATCTGCGACGTACTCCTTTGGGTGTCGGAGGGACGTGCACCACTCAACCGAGTGTTGGAACATGGTTAAAGGTTTAGGGCTTAGGGCTTATAGGGTTTAGCGGTGCAGGGTTTAGGGCCTGGGGTTTAGGGGTTTTCTTTTCGGGCCTCTGACCCAAGACCCTAGTTGCTTGCGAGGTGTTTGAGATTTACAGTGCATTGAGGGTTGTGGGTTTGTTTCAGGTTCGGATTTCGAGCACTTCACGAGCCCGGGATTGGTATTTTTGTTAGGGTTCGACAGCTCTGAAGTGGTTTAGGGTGAAAGCTTCAGTCAGCATTTAGCACAATTCAGGTATTAGTTACGTAGGCCATTGAAAAGTGTTGCATGTCCACTTGCAAGTGTTAGTGCAGGAGGAGTGTGATTGCGAATACTAGGGGGGTAGCTGCGTAGAGTATGCTGTTCCTGCATGAGTACCCAACGAAGTTTCGCGCAGAGTTTAGGGCACTTGCCCGGCCTTCCCGCCACTTGCCCGGCCTTCCCGCAGGGTCCATGTACCCAAATACTATATACTTTGGCCGTTGTTAGGGACTACTTCAAGGCCGATGTATATACTACTTGAGTACATGGACCCTTACTAAGGCTCCATGTAGCCATGTAGTATACACTTAGGCCTTACAGTACCTACATAGGAACCCCTTTAAGGCCTAAGTATATACTATAGGGGTACATGGAGCCTTAGGGTTCGGGCTTTTTTAGGACATTATGTAATTCTAGGGCTAGGACCAGGGCTTGGGACGTGATTCATCGCAGGATCTCGGTTTTCGTGTTTAGGGTTTAGGGTAGGTGTTATGGAGTCGACGGGCTACACCCAGCGACTCTAGTGTAGAAATCTCTCACTGTCACAGGCTTGCACAGACTGCCCCGGATGATGCGAGTTTCCTGCACCTGCAACCAACGTGGGGTCTTGCAACCCGAACTCGAACTAATGGAGGTCTTGCCCTGGGTGGTTGTGGATTCGTTGTATCATAATATCTCTGCAACATGAGACATCCTTATTTGGGAGTTTCCGACCTTGGGGGACCCTAATATGGTACCCTAAAATAGTAGGATCCTTATAATAAGGACCCCAAATGAGGTAACCCTAACTTTCGGAAACTCCCACTTGATCTCTGAATCTAAACACCCAGCACGCACATGTCTTTCTTGGGGTTCAGATGTCTGCTTTGTTGGCTCAGTAGCTGAGTGGATACACTGTACTCTTTTGGGGGTAGTATTAACCACTATAAAGCTGAAAGCATACACTTTCCGGGCTTATGAATTCAGCAAGTAAGTTGGGGTAGCTTCACTCTCGTTTGCATCGGATGGTAGAATCGAAACGGCCACCTAGGCACTGGTGCAGAATCTGCGGGGATGACCCAGCTACTTGTGCCTAATGCATGTTCTAGCTTCCAGGGGTAATTTCAGCTACCTGGGTTTTGCAGGCTACAGATAGACTCATTCAGCTACGAGTCTGCCAACCCTGCGACCTTGTATGGTTTCCTAAGAAATACTCTACGCCCTGATGTCCCGAACCCAAGTCAATCTTACCTGCAAAGCTGGAGGTTTGGGATTTGTCGTGACTTCTCCCTGGATCCGTAGTCGAGGGTGGGCCCACATAGCATTATTCTAATACATCATATATGATATCTAAGGCATCTGTAATACTGTATGACACATACTACTACATATGCAGTAGGTATCGATATACATATATATATATATATGTAAGATACAACACAAATCTGATCATGTAATGCATCACATGTAAAAGGATAAATATAGTTATAACTATATATATATATATATGTGCATATACATATATATATATATATACACACACACATATACATACATATCAGTACATATATAAGCACATACACATATGTGTATATATATATACACATGTAGATAATAGATAAATTGTACATTCGAAGTACAGATCAGAATAAACAATCTTTAACCCGGGACCTTGATCCGAACTGCGCCCATGGAGGCTGAAGTAGATCGAAGACATCGAAGACAGGGACGGGGAAGAAACGCACTGAACTGAAGCGGGCTAAGGGTTTGGGGGTTTCGGGTTTAGGGGTTAGAGGTTTAGGGGTTTAGGGTTTAGGGGTTTATGGTCCAAGCCGCATTCCAACCTTCTAGTTCTTCACGAATTTCCAAGCAGTGGTGCCTAAAAAGGCAGAATCTCTGCAAGAAGTATGTTGGATCATTCAATACATGCATACCTACATGGGAGTTTCCGACAGTTAGGGGTCAATTATTGTTGGGGTCCATATACTAAGGATCCTACTATGTTAGGGTCCCCCTATTTTCGGAAACTCCTACATGCCAAGCACGGAGACGCGGCACTGTTAGGGTTTTGAGTTCAGGGTTTGATCATCATAACCTCCATCAATCCACATCAATCCATTACTACCTGGGTCCCTCTCTCCAGTCTACACTTACTGCATGTGCTGTTTGCCCTTTCTGTTGCCGTGTCAAACATCCCAATCACGGTTAAACATGTAAAATCTAGAAATATGTGGATGGCGACATAGGTATAGACACATGTATGTGTGCATGTAGGTATGTATGTATGCACGTATGAAAACATAACCCTATGAAATTAAGTAGATAAATATGTATGTATGTATGTTTGTATATATACATATGTGTATATATATAGAGAGAGAGAGAGAGAGAGAGAGAGAGAGAGAGAGAGAGAGAGAGAGAGAGGTAGATAGATAGATAGATAGAGAGGGGGTCGAGACGTCGCGGGCTTACAGAAACCTACCTGTTCGGGGCTCCTTCTCATGATTTCCTTACAGACTTACAGATTCCCATGATATTCTAGCTCATTTCTAACTAGATTGGGTTTGTTCGCCCGAGTTTCTTCTGTGAAAGGATCACAGGGACATGTCGGAGCTGCGCAAGAAGTTCTGGGAGATATGGCACGTTGGAGCAGGAGACATGTTTGACGGTCGGACAGTTGGCCTGACTTGGGTTTCACAGACCCCATCTTGATTCCCGCTTCTAATTTCTACTTGCTTTTTTCCTCATTACAACATCCTAAAACAGCTACGGGTCCATGTGAAGTTCCGAGCTCCCAAAGCAACGACCACGCAGCAGAGCCATCATTCTGGGAGTGTAGGCATGAAGACCTAGCAAGCACTGGGAGGTTGAAGCGGCATTCAGGCAGCCTCCCCGGGGGGAGCCCTAGAGCTCTCAGAGATTTGAAACCTGATGTGAGCGGAAAGAGAATCCTGAATAAATACCAGACTTCTTCCCCAGGGTTCCCTCGTAATCATGCTGTCATGTACCCTAACATGCCTCAAACCATGCCACGCTATTGTGCTGTATATTACAACCACTCGCTCAAGGCTTGGCACGGCTAGGCATCTGTAGACGACGACGGTTCACTGTTTCTGGCTCTGGAATAAACATGGGAGTTTCCAAAAACAGGGGAGCATGAATACCCTAGCTAAAATAAGGTACACCGAATTTTCGGAAACTCCCACATGGCTCGGCTTCTTCTGCCAGTCTCGCGGTATCCCTCACCCCGATGCTTCAAGTGGTGACCCGAAAGTCCCTGTAGATCACAAGAGGTCTATTGATTTACACGTCAGGTACGAGTCCCATATGCACTGCCAAAAAGAACTGCGCCTGATAACCGGGGTGGCCGGGATCGGTTTTTGAATCGTGTTGAAATCATTGCATGTCTGTATCAACCAGTCGTTCATACCCAGAGTATTGGGAGGGTTACAAGCCTGAAGTCTTTAGACCCCGAAATGGTGCGCTTCTTCTTCGTCGCTCTCCACATTAACTAGGTTTAAGCCTTGAAGGGTTCCACCGCAGACGCGAGCAAACTGCATTGCAGAGTTCAGCGGCGTCCTGGACTCTACGTCTTATGCATACAAAGCAGTTGCAAGTGATGATGACATTAATGGCGATTGAATTTCTTAGGCCCGCCCTGAAAGAGAGGAGCTATTGCCTTCAACCACGCAGACGGTGAGGTCTGGCTCTGTAGCTTTGCTTCACTACGATGCATCGCGGAGAGCTTTAAGGTTCAGTGGGTGTTTCGGGTTTATTGGAGGGTAGTTGGGGGGTTTAGTTGGGGCCCGTACTTCTGATCAAGGATCATTGGGTCCTTCAGGAGAGGAACCACGATCTCGTGACCAGGTCTGATGCTTCCACAAACCGCTGTCAGGGTTGCAAGGTGGAGGTTTAGGGTTTAGGGGTCTAGGGTTCGCAACACGCAACCCAGGGAACGATTGACTCAGACTGGTTCTCACACATCCTGTCGTCCAAGTTGCACATTGACAGTCGTCAGCGTGAAGCCAATCTTTGGATCGACTGTGAAAGATCTGCTCCAGCGAACTTGTCGCACAAGAAAGGCTGCACCACCCACTTGTCCAACCATACAAGTAGTTAGTCAATGTTGCCGTCATGCTGGTTGGGGTGCCTTCATGTACTCGACCGTCTTCTCTTTGTCCTTGTCAAGCAGTCAACCCAAGCGGCCTGCACTTGAGTCAGCAAACCCATTGACACCCGCGTTGCTTCATCACCATGCTCCATGGCGTGAGACTTTGTCCCAGACGGTGACTCTTTCCAACTCTTCCGTGATGTCTCGTAGTGCATGACCTCGACCTTCACTTTGGTAACGGTCAGTTTTCGAGCACGCTTCTGGAGAACGCAAGACAGGACGTACCTGAACAGGGGCATGGGCAGTGAGGATTCACACATGTCCATCCAAGAGTCTACTAAAGTAGGAAATGCAGGGCAGTCTCATGATGGATTCTGTCTCGAAGCAAGAGAAGCCAAGGAACCCTTAATAAAGATGACAGAAATTGTCAGAAGCTTTCATCATGTGTAAACCGACGTAAACTGCTCAGGGTTTGGGGCTTGGGGGTGTTAGGCTTGTGTTCTTGCGGTTCCAAGTTCCAATTCCGAGCATCCTACACACACACACACACACACACACGCGGTTTCGGGTTTGGTGACTTTAATGTTTACGGTATCGGATCCTAGACACCGTCTCAGGCAGAGGCAAGGTGCCGCAGCATCCACCGACTGGCCCAGCCACTGCTCCTCCTCCTGCGGCGCTCGCGGGGCCGGCGGGGCCCATGCCTTGCCAGGCTCCGCGATTTGGTCGATGCACGAAGGTTTGGGTCCCGACGCACATTATATATACATTATATACACATACACACATATGTATGTGTATATATATATATATAACCACCGCATATATATATATATATATATATAGGCCTCAAGAGAGGAAAAGCTTTGCAAGCATCCTAAATCCCTCCAGCTGGGCTTAGGGTTTAGGATGTAGGGGTTTGGATCAGGGTTCAGGGCTTAATGTGTCGTGTCCATACCGATTTGGGCGTATTGGGGCTTAGGGTTTAGGGTTAAGGTTCATCGTCGAGGGATTGGGAGGGTTGCCTACGGGTTCCAGGAATGCTCGGAGGTTCAGAGGTGATACGGTTGATGATATAAATCCTGAATTACCCATAATGAGGGATATACCATTATTCCCATAGTTTAGGGTCCTTAAGGTAATGCGGGATTTATATCAACAACCGTATAAGGCTGTCCTGGGTCAAGTGTAGAGTGCCTGCGCTCTTGTTAAGGAGTTTGAATACAGTAGTGCTACTGCGGCTGCAGTAGCTGCTGGCAACATTGACTCCATCCGCTAGTGTACAGCCCCAAAGGGTCCAAAGTATCGATATAGTAGAATGTGGGTTTCTATATTAGGAATTACTATTATGATTTGGGAAAGTATTCCCCATAACAGTGCATACGGTTGATGATATAAATCCTGCATTACCCATGATAAGGAATATACCATAATTCCCATAGTTTAGGGTCCTTAAGGTAATGCAGGATTTATATCAGCAACCGTATAAGGCTATCCTGGGTCAAGTGTAGAGTGCCTGCGCTCTTGTTAAGGAGTTTGAATACAGTAGTGCTACTGCGGCTGCAGTAGCTGCTGGCAACATTGACTCCATCCGCTAGTGTACAGCCCCAAAGGGTCCAAAGTATCGATATAGTAGAATGTGGGTTTCTATATTAGGAATTACTATTATGATTTGGGAAAGTATTCCCCATAACAGTGCATACGGTTGATGATATAAATCCTGCATTACCCATGATAAGGAATATACCATAATTCCCATAGTTTAGGGTCCTTAAGGTAATGCAGGATTTATATCATCCACCGTAGGCCCCTTTGGGAACATCAAGAGCCCCATCCCCTTCACTGAGCGTTAACGAATTCCTGCACTGTCTTCGAATTACCCATAGGCTCCATAGTAGCTCCTTTTTGGGGTTACCGTATAGGATTCTATGTATGAACCCAAAAAGGAACTACTTTGGAGCCTCTAGGTATTGTAAAGAACGAGTGGAGGTATCAGACACTATCGAGCGCATATACAGCACCCTTAGCATGATGTTACGAGGACGTTCATAAAAGAGCCCCTCTCACTAACAACCCACCCGTGATGAGCAAAACGATGGGAAGACCACTACCGTTGAGCTTGGCCTTGTTCCCTGAAGCTCACAGGACTCATTTGTTACGGCTCTCTGGGCCCAAAGACAAGACAATCTTTTGGGTTTAGGGCCTAGGGTTTAGGCCCAAAGACGAGCACAAAGGCCTGACTCTAGAAGGCTGCTGCGCTATTTCGAGCCTTAGCTGGGGCTTGGGTATGAGGCAATCTTTCGGGTAGAGGTTTATGGCCTTCCACCAGGGAACAGCGATGCCAGCTGCAAACCATGCCGCTGGTGGTGGAGATCAATCTAAACCAGCGGTGTACAGCATGACACCTCAGGCAAGGAGTTTTGGCATGTTGGGGCAGTGCTCGTCATGGGAGGCAGCTGATTCAGGGATGTTGCAGCAAAAAGGTTTGGTGCAGGTCAGAGACTCAGATCTTTGCATGAAGATCGCAGAGAGGTTGTTGCGGCTTGTTTCATAGTCTTTCGAAGGGATCAGAAAGGTTGCTTTGTGCCGTGGTCTTACTGGTACAGCCAACAGGATGATGGGTTACGAATCGATCTCGGGGCGGAAGTGGCACGTGCTGTGGAAGCCAACTAACTACCATCATACTTCGATTCGTCCATAGCATCATCAGGAGCATTTGCTTGCGAGGCTTCCGCTTCCGTATGAAGTCAGGAAGAAGGTCACTTGTATTCATGATTGGGCTTAGACATGACAGGCTCAGAAAGGAAGGTGCAGGTTAGACCGAGAGGTTGACTTATGTCCAAGGGTAAAAAGAGGGACCCTCAATAAGGACCGTTAGGTATATACCCTTAATATAGCTACTATATACCCATTATATAGCCCATTACAGGGCAGGGGTCCCCATTAAGGGTCCCTCCTTTTCCGCTTTGATTATAGATACAGTTCGAAAGCCTGAAAACCCCAAGAGCTAGAACCCCTGAGGCCCAGCGCTTGAAACACATAAACACACCCTCAATGCTCTTAAACCCCTGAAGCCCTATAGCCCTGAAAGCCCTAAAGTCAGAAATCTTCATCAAGTAGCGCTCAGTAGCTCGCTTACCTCCTGACATGAGTATACTACACTACACTACACTGTACACCAAAATCCAGTTCAGGAGTATCAATATTCAAACCTGCAGCTAAACCCAATCCTTGGTTGCGAAGTTCCGGCCTGCGGTTTCAGGGGCGTCATATACAGGTGGTTGTCAAAATTAGGGTCCCTTTTCGGGTACCCTAAATAATAGGGGCCGTACTATATTAGGGACCTAAAAAGGGACCATAATTTTGACAACCACCCATACAGAAGCTCACAGCTTAGGTGCTTGCTTTGACAGTGAATGTTTAGAACTTAACTATGACTTCGGATTTAATCTCCTCCCCCCTTCAGAGATCACCGTCAGCAACCCTTTCCGATGTTCTTATTTCCTGCCAACCCAGGCCTAGACTCCAAACCCTAAATCAAGCCAAAACCCTAAACCCCTAAACCCCTAAGCCCTAAACCCCATCGCGAAGCCAGGAGATCCTCCATATCGTTCAGACAAAATGCCAGGTTCGAAGGGGCATCGTACACGGTCAGAGGTGAAAAAGTCTAGGATCAAGGGTCTAGGGCTTAAGGGTTTCAGGGTTTAGGGTTTACCCTAACCGCTTTTGGGTGTAGATGTATTGATTTAGGGCTGTTGGGCTTCAGGGTTGAAGGTATAGGGCCTCATGGTCTCTATTTTGGGGACGTATAATGTTAAACTATGATGTCGGGGTCTAGGGTTGAGGAATCTAGGTGTTGCGCGGGTTTTGTGGGAGGCACCCCTTGCGACTCGCTTGGCTTCAGCTTAATGGGACTAGGGCTCGCTCGGCCATTAGCATTTGGGTAGTTGTCAAAATTAGGGTCCCTCTTGGGGTCCCCATTATGATACGGCATCTATTATTTGGGGTACCCAAAAAGGGGCCAGAATTTTGACAACCACCCATGTTCATGCCCCGAAGCACCATGACTACTTTGTGGTGGATGTGAGGTTTTTAGACAAGTAGGGGGTGCCTCATTTGTATAGGGTAGGGTTTAGGGCTCCTTGTGGTAGTGATCTATTTGGGGCGTGAAAGTTCGCCCTTGTGCTTCAAGCTGCAGTGCTCGAGGATATTTCAAACATCATGAGCTTCGAAAAGCTTAAAGTCCTTAGTCCTCAAGACTCCAACCCTAAATCGTAAACTCTATAAACCTTAAACCTTAAACAAAACCCCATATAAACCTGTGGACAAGGAGGAGGCTTATTGCTGCAGAAGCCTAAATGATTATCCATATGACTCCTTGCTAGTAGGGTTGAGGGTTTAGTAGGGTTGAGGAATAGTGCTGATGTCAGTTCGCATGAAGTGGGAGAATATCATCAGGTGTCCACGAGCCCTACACCCCCGGGCCCTTAGCGGCAAAGCCAGCACCGAGACATAGCAACTTTACTGTGCAAACCAACTGTGTCCCTTATAAACCCTAAATCCAGGTAGGGTACACTCCCAAAAGTATTGGCTAAGCAGACTTTGACGGTTTGGGGTTTAGGGGATTTCTACATCCCTCAGCTCATTCAACTCAGACTGTGCTACATGTCCACAATCGATAGTGTTTGCGAACCTGAATGCAGGAAGGCGTCCCCTACATCTTACTGGCCCACATCGGGCATCCGACAACATCGTCCGGCGACATCTCTGCCTGCCATTGGCTACCCTGGTGGCAATCGAGTTCTCCAAAGTCAAGACCTTACAACCTACCAAACAAGCCCATGCAACCACCGCCCCCTGAACCCCCCGCCCTCTGCCCCGCCTTCTCAGCATGAAACCCTGTGCCTGAGAACGAATGACGAAGGTTCATCACGGGTGGCCCATAAAGACTAGGTTGACATGTAGGCCTTGCAGATTTGGGGCTGTCAGGTCACGTGGTCATTACTCCTGGCCCCCAGTAGCCATAGTTGATCACACCCTGAAACCTTGAAGCCCTCCGCCTGTAAACCATGTGATTACCAAGCCAATCTATGGTCCGAAGCCCAAAACAAACCGAGCCAAAAACTGTTTGGCACTTGCACAAAAGTTTCAGATGTGACTCCTTTCAGACACGGGCTATGGCATGACCAGTTACTAACTCGGATACCTCCAAGCGACACACGACTCCTCATAGGGTTTTGGGTTTATGGACCCTGAGAGTTATGTGAATTCATCCCCTGTGCCTTTGAGGCTTCCAGGACCCACAGCCGGTAGGTTACGCATTCAGGTTCAGGATCAGTTTTGGGTTCAAGCCTACATCACAAGTTAGTAAGGACCCAGAGTTCTAAGCGGCAGAGGCCAAAGTTATCAACTTAATAGACCCATGAAAGCTTAGATGCTCGAATGCTTAAATCCTGTGCAATACCGTACACATAAAAAGCCACTAGAGCAGCCTAATGTAGGGGCACAAATGATTACCTATACTGTTTTGGGGTTACTTATTATAGTATACTGGCCCACAAAACCCTATTTTTAATTATTAATATAAGTTCCCCATATTAGGTCATGTAGTCAGATTTTTGGGGCTTTCGGGTTCATGTTTGGGGACTCATAGAGACAAGTTAGGGTGTGGAGTGGATTTGTGCTGTCTGTGGATCTCAAGACTACAGAGGCAACGCGTGTGCTAGGTGCCGTGCTGATTTATGTTGGGCGGGGTTGTTGGACGGCAACCGCTCCCGCTTCCAGTCCTGTTCTGACTTTTCATGTTTGCCTTCATATCTCTCGCAGTCACGAAAGTCCTGGACCCTAAACCCTAAACCTGAACCTAGTAGGTCATACTATTTGCCTCCTTGAGCCTCTGCTGTACTCATGGGATGGTCTTTGGAGCCTCAGAGGGCCGCAATCTTATGCGCATGTATTTTTTTTGTTTTTGTATTCATGTATGTGCATATGTATATACATATGTGTAGAGAGAGAGAGAGAGAGAGAGAGAGAGAGAGAGAGAGAGAGAGAGAGAGAGAGAGAGAGAGAGAGAGAGAGAGAGAGAGAGAGAGAGAGGAGGGAGAGAGAGAGACAGAGAGCGAGAGAGCTCGGTTCAGGGTTTAGGATGGGTACCGGTCGCCTGCCACCATGTGCATGAGGCTTGGGACGAAGAACACCTGGAAGCCTGCAGTCAAGCACAATGCGCCTTGTCCTCCACAGTACCCATAGGCTCCATAGTAGTTCCTTTTTGGGATGACTTTCTAGGATTCTATATATGAGCCCCAGAAAGGAACTACTTTGGAGCCTCTAGGTAGTTTGTTTAGGCGTTCGGTCATTTGAACGTTTCGGGTCCTTGCAGGGAATAGGATTCGCAGTTCTGTTTGAGGTTCTGGAGGGCGGCTTAACCATGTTCGTAAACCGGGGCTGCTGTACGCGATGATTGCCAAGACAGCAAAACCATCGGGGATTTATGTAGCCCAGGTAATATGGGACATGGTGTTGTTCCTGCTTCAGGTCTTGAATGTGAATTTAAGTATGCATCCGCGAACAGACACCCTAATCTGCGGATCGCTGGAGGTTCTGTACTTGGAGGATCATGGGACTTGATAAGTATGGTTATAAGTACCTTGATTGGGGCTATACAAGTATACATAGGTATAGTTACACTAATACTAACCTTCGTTGCTAAGTCCTCCTTTAAGTAGTGCTGACCAGCAAAGATTGAAAACCAGTGGCATGCAGTGCTACATCTCGAGTTCAACGATTTCAGAAGGTTTGCGTGCACGCCTGGGATTGCTTTGGCCTAAGTAAGCCTCCATACCAGAGTCTCTGCCAACATATTCATCCAAGGCACCAAGCGTGAAGTTGGAACCCATCCCCTCGCCAAGCCTCACCCGTAGTCCCGACATGTCCCGACTTTAAGCCCCATAAGCCTCAAGCCGAATTGATTTGTTGGTGTTTCTGTTTAACACCAGTCCCGGGGACCCCACACCCTCGGCCGTTCTAGACCATCTAAACCCAAAACTAGCAAAGAAAACTTGTAACTTTAGGATGTAGGCTTTAAGGCAGGGCATGCGCAGAGCGATCTCCTGTGCCACGGGCCTTAATAATTAGAAGAGGGTTTCGGGGTGTGTTGTGCCTACAGTCTCCATTGTAATTCCCTGTTTTGGTTAACCAGAATTATGGTTAGGATCCTATAAAAGAAGCTTGGTTCAGCCAAAAAAGGGAACTACAATAGAGACTTCAGGTAGTGTCACCAGATGAAGGAAGCAATTATCCAGGCCCCTACATTCCCAGAGACTCCAATACCCCTTAATTAAGGGATATACCTTACATCATATTGGGGATTCTACCATAATTTAAGGTACAGTCCTTAATTAAGGGATATTGCAGTCTCTTGGTTATATAGCTCAAGCCTCCAACGTGGGTTTTACAATGCTTAAGAGGTGTTGCAAGAGGTTGTTTTGTTACAGTCCGGCCAAGGGCGGTCGATTGACAAAGGGCAGGGTTTGGGATTTCGGGTCAGGCTTGTCGGGCCTAAGATCAGCACATGCAGTCAGAGGCAAGGGGCATCTGCAGTGCTCCTTCCCAATGCAACTATAAAGTATGTCGCAGCCTGGGTTGCAGGCTTCATTCCATCGTCGTAAACGGGAGTTTCCGAAAATGGGGGACCCTAATATAGTACCCCAAATAGTAGGATCCTTATTGTAAGGACCCCAAAATAAGGTACCCCTAATATTCGGAAACTCCCAATTTTTTATCTCTGAAGCCATGCCCGACATATAGGATGTGGATGGCAGTGCTTCAAGTTATCCGGTGCCTGAGGTGGAGTTGGTGGAGAAGTTTCTTCATCACCACAGTATCTACCCTCAATGCAGCTCGGACTATGTCACATGGGGTTTTTTAGGCGGAGAGCTGCTAGCTGGGGTGAGGATTCGGCTGTCAAGCAACATGCTTCCAGCCATCGCAGGCACTAAACACCGAGGAAATGGACCAGTAGGCTTCCTGGAAGTTGGGGTTTAGGGTTCAGGGTTTAGGGTCTTGTAGAGCTGCTGTGTTCGACAACATGCAAGCCTCAGGAATCAAGTGAACTGCATCTGCACCGCCCTGCACTCGCGTTTCATATGTCGGTCTATTTCGAGGATTGAGCTTCGAAGCTTCTCCTTGGCTGCCATTGATCATTCGCCCTGCTTTAGGGTTTAGGTATCAAAAAGAGGGATCCTTAATAAGGACCCCCAGGTATATACCCTTAATATAGCTATCATATACCCATTATATAGCCCATTATGGGGTCCCAGGGGTCTCCATTAAGGGTCACATCTGCGCATTCCTGAAGAGGCCTGTTGTCAAGTCGTAAACCCTTCGGGTCCGCAGCCTCCCTACTATCCTCTAATGTTCCTGAGGCTGATTATTCGATACTATACTAATTCTACAGTTACAGATGTATGTGTGTGTGTATATATATATATATATATATATTTGTACATATAATCATATGTATAGAGAGAGAGGCCTCCTAGACTAGACCCTCAGCTTTCCTTGAGGTTGTTGTAGTCATTCTGGTGAAGAAGCTTACCCAGAGGCCCCAAAGTAGTTCCTTTTCGTGATTACCCTATAGGATTCTATATACGAACCCTAAAAAGGAACTACTGTGGGGCCTTAGGGTAGCAGGTATGCTTTGCCCCAATGGAGTCGGCTTTGCGGAGCACGTGCCGGCGGAGACACAGGGGGTGGTCAGAGCCTCCAATATCCCTTAATTAAGGAATATGCCTTAAATTATAGTAGGTTCCCTAATATGATTTAAGGTATATTGCTTAATTAAGGGGTTTTGGAGTCTCTGGGTAGTCTCATGCATTTTGGAGACGAGGGCTGGGCGATAATTCAGGGGGTTTGGGTTTTTAGGGTGCGTTTTTTCAGCATCAGGGCTTACCTAATTACCCTAAACCTTCAAGTAAACCTACTTTGGGGTCTAAAGCCCATAAGTAGTACCTACTTTGGCCTGTTAGTTGGAGCCCCCGGCTTTGAGGTTTGTACAGCCTCCCCGCTCTTGGGTTCGATGGTGCTTGTGGATTGGTTCGAGAGCAGAAATGAACTGTTCGCCCTCAATAATGTGCGGGTTTTGTGTATATTCTGAGTATACAGAGGGTCAAGACCTTGCCCGAAGGGTCCATGTACCCACATAGTGTCTATGGCCTTAGAAGTCCCTAACCCCAAACCCTAAATCCTAAACCCTAAAACCCTAAAGCCAAAACCTTGAAAGTCCCTATGTAGTCCCGCTGCAACAACAGTATACCTCATCGCAACATCCAGGGGGAACCCCAAGTCCGGCCCACACGTAGAAGCTTGGATATGTCTGCTGTCATAGCCCTGGGGTTCCACATAGCCCAAGGTAGGATTCATAGGCTTTAGACTTTAGACTTCGAGAAGCTTGGATATGTCTGCTGTCATAGCCCTGGGGCTCCAAATAGCCCAAGGTAGGATTCACAGGCTTTAGACTTTAGACTTCGGCCCCATTGCAAGGTAGGTACGAGTCGTGTACTTGGAGCCCCTATAGGGTAAGGATTTCCCAAGGTGGCCAGGGAGGAGAGCAATCGGTGACGGTGAAGAGGGCGATCCTATTTGGCACTGCCTCTGTTCTAACTCCGAAGTCTGATTAGGGTTTAGGGTGTAGGGTTTAGGGTTTAGGGACTCTAATGTCCCTAGACCTTAAAGCCTTGACCCTAAACCGTTACGCCGCAAGGGAATGGGTGGGCATGCCTCTGCTCAAGCAGGCTCTATTTCCACATGCTTGCTAGGTTTTATAGGTCTTAGGGCTTCGGGAGTTTTTCGTTAGCGTTCTGGATCCGCAGCCAGTTATCTTGCGCCATGAACAGGAGAAGCACCTGCGCGCCTTGTGGGAGAAGTGCCCCGCGGGAAAGAAAGTGGCCGGGTGCCAAGCTTTTAAGGACTAGAGCCAGGGATACGGGCGGCTGAATCCGGGGATTGCTCCGACGGTCGAAATCCCACAGATAACCCTAAACCTAAGGATTCCTGCAGAATCACCTATAGTCTAGCTCCTTTTCTTGGTTTAACCAGTTTTCGATACTAGGGTCTTATAAGCCACGCCAAAAACGCACTACAATAGAGACTACAGGCAATCCCGGGCCCAGGTTGATTGCGCCAAAGATCTCTGGCAAGAGTGGCGACTGCCAAATCTCGTACTCCTGCGTCTCGGACGAGAAGGCAAACCCAAAGGGTCCTATGTACTGTTCTGGGGGATACTTCCCTAAGTCATATAGTATATGTGGAAACCCTACATTCTACTATATCGGTACATAGGACCCTTTGGGAAAAAATGTCCAGGGTTCTGGGTTTCGGGTGTGGGTAAGCCCAACGGCTCCATATACCCATATAGTAGGTACTTAGGCCTTGAAGTACCTATGTAGGGACCCCTTTAAAACAAGGCCTAAGTACGTACGAAATGGGTTCATGGAGTCTTTGGGATGACAGATGCAAGACATATCATTCCAATGGCTCCAAATACATATAATCCGAGGGACGCGGAGGAGTGCAATTGCATGTGCATCGCACACAGCCACAAGTCTAAGTGGGCAGCACATTTCTGAGCACAGGCGGCACCATCAGCTTTATGCCAGGGACATCGTTCCTTCAGTGACTATACAGTGCGAGTGGAAACTGCTTGTAGGTGGTCTTCCGAGCAGATTTCGGCTATTCCGATATTCCGGCCTCATCATAGCGACGAAATTGAAGCAGGCATCCACATCCAAACGCTCTTTTTCCTCATGTCGCCATGACTGCTTTTGCAAGGCCTCCAACCTGCCAAGATGCCCTATGCCGTGGTTGATGCTTTTACTATTCCATGTGTTTCCGGTGAACGTTCACGCGCATGGTCCAAACACCGTCACTGTGCTCGCTGTCGCCGCAGGTGGAAGTCGTAGGAATTGTGGGGCTAGCGGCAGCGAAGGTGACGGCGATGGTGATCTTGGTTGGAGGTGGCTGTTGAGCTTGGTGCTCGTCCTCGTTCTCGAGGGGTTGTTGCAATGCTGCTGCAGCCTGAAAGCCTTGGATTGAATATCGCAGGCCCCAACACAATCACAGGCGGTTTACCTAGAGGCTCAGTGCTTTCGAGTATCACTCAGGCCCCTACAAACCCATAAGCCCTAAACCCTATCCCCAGCTTGGACCCTGTAAGACAGCTCAGGAGATACAATCACTGCCATGGACAAGTGCTGATCTGCAGGGGGGCGCCTCAGATGTGCTTAAGGGAAGTTGGAATGGCTTGGTTCCCCTTGGATGCCTTGAAAGTCCCATGATCCTCCCAAGTAAACTCTAAACCCTATAGACCCCTTCATAAGGAGCCCTATAGATCCCTTGAAGGAGCCCTTTAAGGAACCTTACTAAGTCCCATGGTCCTCCAAGTAAAAACCCGGATCATGGGACTTAGTATGTATGGTCATAAGTACCCTAATTGGGGTTATAAGCAGTCATAAGTATAGTTACCCTAATAATAACCTAAGTTACTAAGCCCCATGATCCTTTAAGTAACCCTAAGACCCCTCTTGTAGAACCCTTATAGATCCCTTTTAAGGAGCCCTTTTAAAGAAGCCTATAGTTACTGATCCTTCAATAACCTTAGTTACTAAGTCCCATGATCCTTTAAGTAGCCCCTAAACCCTATAGATCCCTTTATAAGGAACTCTATAGATCCCTTTAAGGAGCCCTTTAAAGAGCCCTATAGTTACTAAGTCCCATGACCCTTTAAGTAGAAGCCCCGATCCCACTGCCGATCTTCAGACTTCAGCCTGACCCTGGAGCCCTCATCTCTCCCTGCAATCCAGAGACTGCTCCTTTAAAGGCTTAGGGTTTAGGGGTTTAGAGTTTAGGGCTTAGGGTTTAGGGGTTTAGGGTTTAAGGGTTAAGGGCTTTCGGGATTTAGGGGTTCAGGGTTCACCTATAGTCTGAGACTGCCTTAAAGTACCTACATAGGAACCCCTTTAAGGCCCAAGTATAAACTATAGGGCTACATGGAGCCTTAGGGTATAGACTCCATTGTAGTTCCTTTTTTGGGTTAGCCAGTTTTATGGTTAGGATCCTGTAATAGAGATTTTGGTTAACCCAAATAAAGGAACTACAAAGGAGACTATAGGTGTTCCTGTAAAGGGATCTATGAGGGGCCCTTTGAAGGGATCTAGGGGGTTTAGGGTTTAAGGGAGTAGATTCGGTTTAGAGTTCCTTTTAAAGAGATCTATGAGGGGCCCTTTTGACGATTAGCAGTCTTATGGTTTTTATTCGCACTTGTTTTGCCGTCTTACTGGTGCGTTCTTCCTTCGTTCATGTTCTTCCTATCTGTATACTGAACTTGAAAATTTGAAAATACTGCTAGTCATGCTCCGCAAACCCAAAACCATCCTAGACCCCAGTCCCTAAACCAACGGAAAAAAAACGAAAAAAAGAACCCCAAAACCATAAACCCTCCCTAAACACTAAACCCTCATAGACCCAGGAGCCTCGACCCGGTAAGATGCTGCCCTTTCCCGTGGACACCCCAGCCGCTGGTGCACCGATGATGCCGCACCTTGGTCTCTGCTTAACTTATTGGCTGTAAACTCAACTTTTGAACTTTTGAGGTTCTTTTTTGGTATGAACTTTTGGGGTTCTTTTCAGGTAGTCGATTTTGAAAGTTTCAACTTTTGTTTCTTTGGGGTCTTGGGCCAGTGAGTTAAAGGATCCTGGGACTTCGCAGCTAAGGGTTATCACGGTTTAGGGTTTTAGGGTTTAGGGTTTAGGGTTGTAGGGTTTAGGGTTATTACAAGGGTACCTAGACCCCCAAAATAGGTAAAACAATGGCCCTAAACCTATAAAAGGCAATTATTCTACATACTTTGGGCGTCCAGGTGGCTATATAGTGAAGCCCAAAAGTTGGAAACCCAATAGCCTCAATCCGTAAGAGTAATGTAGAGGGAATCCCAGCACTAATTATCCATAATCCGGTTACCAACTTTTTGGGGTGTACTGTACTTATATCCAGTAATCACCTCAACTCCGGTGCTTGTAGCCGTACTTACTAAGTCCCATGAGCCTCCAACCAGGCGTCACAGTGTTTTCGGGGCAAGGGGTTAAGGGTTTAGGATATAGAGGGCTTCAGATGCAGGATTCAACCTCCTTCCGTTTTCCCTAAACCCTGAAACCTAAACAAACCCTACACCCTACGTTATAGACCCCTTGAAAGGAACCCTTAAAGGAACCCCAAGGCGCGAGCGCTTTGGCCGCAAGTCCCAAAGGTGTTCAGCTTGTCCACACTGACGACAAATCCTACAGTCCCTAAACCCCTGGGCTCCAAGTATACACATAGTCCCAATCCCTACCACGGCTTGGGTTTAGGATGGATGGTTTAGGGTTTCAGGGCTCAAAGTATACAACATGTACTTACTTTGGGGGTTAAAGTTAAAGCCTATAACTAGCATGTACCTTGAGCTATTCGGAGTTTCGGTGGAAGCTCTTGAGCCGCAAGCCCCAACGAACCCTAACCAAACGTGTTTGTACTTCGGCCTTAAAGTAGTCCCTTTTTAGGTACATTGGGGCCACAATATTTACTATTGGGGCACATAGGGAAGCTTCAGACTTACCCTCGCAAGACACACCTTAACCATAGCACGTGTCGACCCCTGAACTGTACGTCCTCACCTCAATCCCCCAAACCTTGAACCTCTCAACCCTAGACTCATAGGAGGCCAAAAGGGGTTTTAGCCTATGGGGGCTTAGTAGGGATTAGGGTTCCCATAATAGGGTTATATTAAGGAATCCCCACCCCAAAAATCTTAAAGCTCCCTTTTGGCCTCCCATCATAGACCCTGAAAGCTAAGGTCTCAACTTCCCCTAAACCCTTTTAGCTCCCTCATGAAGGAAGCCGTACAGGAACCCTCATAGGAAACTTCATAAGAGCCCTCAAAGGAGCCCTTTAAGAACCCTGAAAGGAACCGTTGAAGGAAGCCTTACCCAGAGACTCCAATATCCCTTAATTAAGGAATATATACGCTAGGTTTTGGTAGGATCCCAACTATCCCTTAAAGGGGCCCTTAAGGATCCCTTTAAACGAAGCCCAATCCGAGGCCGCGGGGTCCTCCCTCTGTGGCCTCCTTCGCGCCAAGCTCCACCATGACCCGGGGCTGCTTCCCCCCGAAACTCCAAATAGCCCCCAAATAGGTACGATTTATCGACTTGAACCCGAGTTTAGGGTTTAAGTTGTAGATGTTAGACCCTAAGTAGGTACTATTTGTAGTGTAGCACACACACACACACACACTTGTTCGTGCGAAATGACCGAATCGACTTGTGGATCTACTCGATCGATTCTTGCGAACTTGATCATGTAATTACCGTTGCCATTTTGGCATAAGCTTCGAAAGCTTTAGCTTTTGTTGCACCCTCCCTCCTCACCCTGTTTATTCCATCGATTTTCTTCTGCTTCCAGTCTGCGAGAGTCCGACTGGGAAACTGTCGGTCCTCCCCTGAAATGACGGATCACATTCCTGTAAGGAATGATGAAGTACGAATCGACGTCGAAGAAGATTGATCGATACGCAGACTTACGCCACCGTTGAGGAAGCAGGTGGAAAACAGTCTGCGTGCACCAGGGATTTATGGTTACTTGTGTGATATATTCGTGGTCTACTTGGAGCCGTAGGGTTCTCTTTGGGAAGTTCGGGGTTTGGAGTGCAGGCTTTAGGGTTCAGGGGTTTAGGTCTTAGGGCGTCTTAAGGTTTAGGGAGGATGGAGGGTTTCAGGTTCACGGAACGAGACGGTGTCAGCTCAGCCTAAACCTTAGAACCCTGAATCCTACATCAGATGATTGAGGGGTTTGGGGCGTTTAGGGCATCAGGGGTTTAGCTGTTCAGGGTTTTGTGCTAGCAGGTAACTCTCTACTTGTAGATCATGTGCAGTACAGTTTTCTCATGTATGCTCATGTTGTGTTGTTTTGTTGCATGCGAGATTGAAGTTGCCAGTCCATTGAGCCATTTCGAACGCCTAGCACACGAAACGCAAACCCTAAAGGACCCTAATGCTCTGTCCATCCCTACCCGATCTTAGACTGGCCTAAGCTCTTGAGCCCCACTTGGAGGATCATGGGACTTAGTAAGTAAGGTTATCAGTTCCTTGATTGGGGTTATAAGTAGTTGTAGATCTAATTACCTTAGGAATAACTTTGGCTACTGAGTCCCATGATCCTTTAAGCACGCAAAGAGAAAAGCAACCTGTGCGCCTACCTCAGGAGTCAGGGCGGTCCCCCGAGTGTCGCCAACCTACAAAACCCAGCTCAACCGCCGCCGCAGCAACCGCCACAGTCGCAGCGGCCAGTGCAGCCGCAGCAGCCGCAGCAGGCACAGCAGCCGCAACAGCCGCGGCTTGGTGCGATTACCACATTAAACTGTTTTTTTTTCAGACCAGCTTGCATCACGATCCTGCTAACGCTGTGTACGTCAACTTTCAACTTCTGGCTTTCTCGGAGTACACTTCTCAAAGCAGCCATGGTTCTTCTTTACACCAACAGCTTTCGACGCTGCAGTGAGAGTCCGCGCCGCCGGATAGACATGTATGCAGCGAAGAAACATAGAGACCCGAGGTGTGTATGTTCTGTGTAAGTGCAGGCATGTGCAAGGATGCATCTGTTTATCCATCATCTAACTGCGCATCATGCACATCCAACTATGCATCTACATAGTTACCTCTGTCTGTCTGCCTATTTAGATATATGTAATACGTATCTATGCCTGTTTGTATGTTTCTGTATTCTGTCTATTCATCGATCAGTCCGTCCGTCCATCCATCCATCCATCCATCTGCATCCACCAATGCATTCATCCATCCATCCCCCCCGTCCGCCCATCCATCCATGAATTTTGTTTTTGTTTTTTTTTTTCTCTCTCTCTCTCTCTGTCTCTCTCTGTCTCTCTCTCTCTCTCTCTCCCTCTCTCTCCCTCTCTCTATCTCTCTCTCTCGCTCTCTCTCGCTCTCTCTCTCCCTCTCTTTCTCTCTCTCCCCCTCTCTCCTCGCTCTATCTACGTGCCGATCTATCGAATTTCTATCTACCTGTCTGTGCTGTGAATAAGTTTGTCTCCGTCTGTCTACCTGCTTCCCGGTTTGCCTACTATCTGAGTCTATCTTGTATGTATGCATCTGTGTGTCTACTGGTCGACGTCTCCGTGTACGTATGCATGTGCGCAAGCATGCCTCTGTGCGCATATTAATGTAACTGTGTATGCAAGTGCTCATGAATGTTGTTAACATGATTGCATGTTCACATGTATGTGTTTATGCAAGCTGCCGTACCATACGATACTGTTACGTACTGCGCTGCATGTTACGGTATGGTGTTGTGCTCATATATAATGTAACCATGCAGTATTGTACAGTAGTAGTGACTGAGCAAGGGCAGTATGTACGCATAGGCATGTGATATGCATGTATGTACGTGTTATATAGCAATATTAATCACAACAACAAAAGTTGCACTAACGCCAAGCAAAAGAATTGCATGTATGTACGTGTTATATAGCGAGACTGATCACAACAACCAAAGTAGTACTAAAGCTAAGCATATAAGTTGGACTAGTAATACAATCAGTAACCGCAATCATAGTGTTCGTAGTAGCAGTAGTATATGCGCACCTGATTCCTTCTTTGGCTTGTCGAACCTCGGGTATGATACCTGGGCCCGTTTTTGTTTGATTGATGTGAACAGCCAGTGCGAAACCTCAGCTGCGAGCCGCAAAGCCCGACCCCTCTGGCCTGGCAGGATGAGTTTAGGACTTCGGGAATAGGGGTGGTGAGATTTGGGCTTAACCCCTAGAAGCCCTAGCCTGCTTGCCCAGGCCACCTACACAGCTGGTCCCAGCGCCAAGTACGAATCCAGACCCTTCAGCTCTGCCACAAGAAGGCCTCAGGGTTTTGGGCTCGGGGTGTGGGGTTGGAAGTTTTTGGCCTATAACCTACCTATAGTCTGCATTGTAGTTCCCTTTGGGGGTTATCTTATAGGATCCTAATTATAAGATTGGATATAGGAGTCCGGTATCAGGGTGCAAGCTGAGGGAAATCGACCTTTTGTTGTCTGTGGCGCGTGAAGGCAGCAGCTTCAGTCCTGTAGAGGTCGGGTAGGGTTTAGGCAGGCGTTGCATACTGTGACTGATGATACAAATCCTGCATTACCTTAAGGACCCTAAACTATGCATATTCCTTATTATGGGTAACGCAGGATTTAGATCATCAACCGTGGCAGGATTCAGGGAATTCCTGGACCGTCGCTTCAGGTCAGGTTCCCCTAAACCTCCAGCTCTTTAACACCAAGGAGATATCGGGAAGCAAGGTTATGTATTGGCACCTGAAACAGACGATACTTCTGCAGGTAGCACCAATCCTACTAAGTGCAGGCTGTGAGATGTGAACGGCAGCATATGAGCCAGAAGGCCTGACACATTTCCCATTCTTATTAATGCTATTGTAGTTATTACTAGTGCTATTAAGTTATCGTCCTCAATATTCTCATCATTAATCATTACTAGTATTGTTATTCTTGGTTTCACTTTGGTGGATAGCACTACGTAGTTTGACACGCTGAGCAGCCCGAGGTAAAGTTAATGAAGGCATATTCCTACCCAAAGGGTCCTATGTACTGTTACGGGGAATACTTCCCCAAGTCATAACAGTAATTCCTAATGTCGAATCCCATGGGCCACATTGGCCACATTCTACTATATCGATACTTTGGACCCTTTGGGCTATCCTCTTTAAGCGAAACCCTAAACCCTAAACCCTAAACTCTAAACCGAGCACTCAAGCAGTCGGACTTCGAGCGGCCCCAAGCCTGAGATCCTAAGTACCATGTGGATAATTTGCTTCCCCAGTACCAAAACACCAACCGCAAAACTTGGCACAGAACCTTGCAGGGAATCCCGATTAAGCACATATACATATTCATATACATGTATATATGTATACATACATACATACATACATACATATATATATATATATGTATAGATATCATAGGCCTTGTAGCCCTGTGAAACCCGAAACTCCTGTACCCTGAACCTCCAAGACGACAGCCCAACATAAAGCCTACATGACAGCCTCCACAGGGCTGCCCATTCCCAATATTTGAGATTACGAGTATATGTACATAGTAAGAGTCTCCAGGTCTGTGGTACAGTTTGCATCCGCCGTGCAGCTTTGCCACGAACCCCGGGGGCGACGCTCAGCGCTCACTCGAAAAGCCTAATATTAGCATATCGGTTTTGGGACTCGTGTTTCAGGGTTGGGGACTGCAGCAGCCTGCGCGCCTTATCATCGCAAGCTTCAGTGCACTCAGCTTCGTCAGAGACTTGGCCCAAATCCTTAAACCCCTCCGGTACCACGAGCTTCTGCTTAGGTTCGAATGGTATTCAAAGACCATAATGATCAAGACAGAGCCCAAAAGGAATTGGAACCTTGAAGACCCTCTTCCCGGAGAGTGTAAAACCTCTAGAACAGATCTGCAAACCCATGCAGAGACTCTTATGGGAGTTTCCGAAAACTAGGGGTACCTTATTCTGTGGTCCCTATCATAAGGATCCTACCATTTAGGGTACTATATTGGGGTCCCCCATTTTCGGAAACTCCCTTATATCGGACACAACTGCAATTCATGTCAGGAGCTGGGCCAATGATTCTTGTTGTTCGTATTCCCTTCGGGGCACACTAGAAAGCACGAATCGTGATTTCGTCTAAGATGTGGCCTCGTTCTTCCGGGCACGGAACTTAATAATTGCCAATACTATTGGGGGGCTCCTCATACTATACTTCTAGCATAACATAACCCAGAACAGTGTCCCTATTCTAACTAAGTCTTTATTAAAGTCGCCGGCACTGAACTCCCAAAATATTTAACCCTTGTAGGAACCCTTCAAAGGAACCCTAGTCTATCGGGCTTGCAGGTGGCTTGATCTGCATGCTAACAAACCATGCCTAACACCCTGCGAGTTCTGATATGCTCGTTTGGGGTTCGGGTTTACTTGGACCCTAAGAAACCTGCCTTTTTAGGGCTCCTTAATATGGTTTTCTGTTTCTAGTCCTTAACAAGGTTGGCTATTTTGGGGTCAAGGTAGGGGTTAGGGGTCGTTCGTTAGTTTGGGTTTAGGGTTGTGCCAGCCCGAGAGCCCACACTGCATACTGCCTGTTAAACTGAGGTCCACGCGCAGGGCTGGAGTGAGTAGCTCCGCCTTTAGGTCACGTATGTTTAAGGACATCTTTGCTGGGGCTGGTCAACCCCAGGCCCTAGAGCTTGCATGTAGAGTGCTGAACCGATAGAATAGGGCTTGAGGTCCATAAATCACAATTCAACAGGGATTACAAGAGATATTATGCAGACGCCCATGTTTTTAAGTCAGTTACCGAGTACTTACCTTCACCTCCTGCGTGTTCAAGGCTTCTCCAATCGCCAATTACCCTGCACTCTCGACAAGTGAACCAATAAACCCAAAACCACAATCCCTAAACCCTCACTCTGAACAACTGAAGGACTATCGGGCCTACCCTCACCTGGGTGGCAAATCCGCCTTCAAAGCAGCCATGACCCCACGGGCGAAAATCATCGAGGATGTTCTGCGCTCTGCCTGCACCAAGAAGCCCCAAACCCTTAACCCCTAAACCCTAAACCCTAAACCCCTAAACCCTAAACCCTAAACCCTTAACCCCTAAACCCTAATCCTAAACCAAAGTCGTAGATCCACGTTGTGGCTGGTACCGACTAAACAATTCAAATAAGGCATCTAAACACCAGCTGCAGGGTATGGCCCTCTAGGTTTGCTACTTCACTTAGGGGTACTTAGAAAGGTTTTTTGTTTTTGGTTATTATAATCCCTAAGAAACAGCTAAAATTATATTTTGTGCTAGGGTTCTAAGTTCAGTATAGTTCAGTATACCTAAATTGCTTGGGTGTCGAGACTCCCACGAAGCACAATTCCCGACGACTTCTGTAAGCTGACTGAGCTCTTTCGATCCTCTAGGGGATGTGTCTCTGGAGTTCAGGTTAAGGGTGTGGGGCCACTTGGTTCTCGCATTGCGGATTTAGGTTTCAAGAATCATTGTTGTGTAGACCGCTATGGGCAGGTTTGGAAATTACGACTAGAGCAACAAGGTCACCTTTTTGGGCAGGCTCGTCGCTTCTTCGGGTGCCAGGGCATACCGTCGAGAAGCTTTGGCCAACCCACTTGCACCGAGGCAGCTAGGTAGGCAGGAAGTCAGGCATGCATGCATGCATGCGGGTAGGTTCATCATCATGTCTGTCTGTCTGTCTGTCTGTCTGTCTGTCTGTCTGTCTGTCATGTGATGTAATGTATATGTAATGTAATGTAAAGGAATGGAATGTGATGCAATGTATTGTACAGGAACGTCATGATATGTATGCATGTGTGTGTGCATGTATGTATGTATGTATGTATGTATGTAGGTATGTGTGTATATATGTTTGCATGCATGTTTGTAACCATCTTTGTATCTTCGCAGGTGTGTGTCTATGGATGTCTCTATTGATGCATGTATGTATGCATGTATGTATATATATATATGTGTGTTCATGCAATTATGTGTGTGTATATTTATATGCTTGTTTGTATGTGTTCATGTATGGTTGTATGCATGTTTGCACGTATGTATGTATGTAGGTAGGTAGGTATGTATGTGTGTATGTATATACGTATGTATGTGTGTACGTGTGTTTTTTCTTTTTTGTGTTGGTACTGTGTAGGTCTGCATGTCTACATTTGTTGTGTGTATGTCTGCATGTACATGTGCGTATGTGCATGCGGTATGCATGCATTTATGTATGCATGTGTGAGCAAGTATGTACGTGCGAAATTATGCCTGTACCTATGCATGTATGTTGGTATATACATATGGCACATAACATAATTACAGTCTGTGCATGTGTGTGTGTGTGCATGTGTCTTGATGCATGTGCCAGTGTAAGCACATATGTATGAGTACATGTCTGTATGCATGCATGCTTGCTTGCTCGCTTGCTTTGCTGTCTGCAGGTGTGTACAGTGTAGGGGCTTACTCATTTACTATGTACCTGGTTATAGTTTTATGCATGTGTTCATACGCACTTAGATATGGAGGCATTTGTGTGTGCATGCATGCGTGCATGCATAAGGGGACGCGGACCAGCGTTTTCATGTGAACGGACACGCTACCTTCTGCACAGACGATGTGCGTCTTCCGAACAGACTTGTTGCACACATGTTTGCGCATAGCACATGCATGCATACCAGTATCCGGGCACTAAGGGCACGATCGCATGTGTAGATGTTTGATCTTATCTGTTTTCTGCGGCATTTCCCGGCCCAGGTACAATCAGCCAGCGCCGATTGATCCACAGTGCAGCTTCTGTGAGCGTCACAGGGGATATGCGGAACACTTGGGTGCAGACAAACACTGGAGAGCTCTCTACCCAGAATTCACAGGTGAAGGGGTGTGCATCCGAGCTTGCAGTTCGTCAGTTTTCTTCTGGCACTCAACGCTAAAGCCTGCTAAGGCTAAGGCTGAGGCCACTATAGGCTTCAACCGAGCGCCCCGAAAGGCCCGAAACCGACTTGCAACGGCGCCTGTGCTTCCCGAGGCGAGACCTTTTCAATCAAAACAGTCTGTGAAAAGAGCCTAAACCGTAAACCCTAAACCCTAAACCCCTCAAACCCTAAGCCCTAAACCGAAAAGAAGGTCTTATCGACTCCAAGTGGCAGGCTTCCCCAAGCGAATCTCAAATCTGACAGATCAAGGTATCGAGCAGGTTCGCCCAAGGGCCTGGAACAAGTGGAGGATTATGGGCGGATGGATCCGCATAAATGAGCTGGATGGGGCCATCGAGTTGCTCGGTTTTGGAGTACGAAAGACTTGAGTTGGTTTCTTCGATGCTTATTTCCTTGCAGGACTCTTATACGGCCAACACGAAGACTTGCTTTTCTCGTTCGCCAGTCATCCTAGGATATCAAAGGGGAACAACGAGCCGAGCTCCACGGAGGGCATCGCGGCAGCTCCACAGATTCCCTCGCAACCCCAAGGAATGCAAGCTCAAGGCCCTCAGGCCCCTCAGGGCCCTCAGGGCCCTCAGGGGCCTCCAGGCCCTGCACCGCATGCTGCCTGGGCGAATTACCAACCCACGCAGACCCAACAACCTGCGGCTCCGCCAATGCCCCAACAGGCACAACCGGTACCCACACCGGCCCCTCAGCCCGGAGGCGAGAGTCCTTGGGCGAATTTTTCCGGCGTAGCTCATATGCAAGCGCAGCCGACCATGGCAACACCGGCAGCACCTCAACAGATGCAGCAGCCAATGCAGCCGCAGATGCAACCACAGATGCCGATGCAGCAGCAGCAGCAGCAGCAACCAATGCAGCAGCAACAGATGCCACAGCAAATGCCGCCGCAGGCCCAAACACAGCCACAAGCTCAAATGCCACAGCCAGGGCATCAAGCTCAGCCAGGACCTGGCGAGAATGGCTACACAAACTATCACCCGGGTCAGTTCGGACAGCCCGCGGCCACACCTTACCCGCACCTCAGTTGTTATCTTAAGCAGTTTGCGGTTTGACGGTCGAGGGTTCAGGGACTGTGCAAGAGGCCCAGCAGCTTCCTAGAGCCTGGCTTGCCATGAAAGCCTATTGCCCTGAAACCCTGCTGAACACTGAAGCTATAAATCGACGCACCATGGGACCCGAAACCCTAAACCTTTAACCCCAAAAAAACCTTTAACCCCAACCGGGGAAACCCATGCTGCAGCTCCGCACAAGGTCACAAGCCGTTGCAGGTGTGATAAGAATCCCTTGTCAAGTGATAAGTATCCTTCTAACGTTGCACCGGAAAGCTAAGGTACTGCACTTCGGGGTCTAGCAAGCATGGTGTTACCTTGTTGTCGGTTGTCTTTGCCGACCAAACAGCCCAGCAGGACACTCGTTTGTGCGTTCTGAATCTCTTCGGGCACTAGAATGATTTAACGTTGCACTGTCTCGGGCTGGGTGATCCTCTTCAGTGCGCACCGGCCGGGGCCAAGTCACATCAATTCAGCACTTCAGGTTGCTGTCAGCCACATTGGCTACAACGACAACAGCAACAACAATAACAATAGCAAAAAGTAGGGACCCTTAATGGGGACCACTACCCTATAGTGGGCTATATAATAATGGGTATATAAAAGCTATATTAAGGGTAACAATAGCAGCAACGCTAACAGCAAAGGCAAATGCAGCGTGAGCACAGTTATCATTATTACTCCTTTCGCCCTGCTGCTGCCTCTGCCTCTGCTGCTGCTGCTCCTCCTCCTCCTCCACTCCCAAAGGCGGCATGTACCTTTATAGTAGATACTTAAGCCTTAAAGGGGTCCCCATATAGGTACTTTAAGGCCTAAGTATATACTATTTCAGTACATAGAGCCTTATATAGGGACTACTACGACGACGATTACTACTACCGCTGGCAGACTCAGGCAGGGGTTCCAGGGCAATCCAAACCCTGCCGCGCCGCCGTGGGCAGACATTCGAGACATCCGAGGGCTGCGGATCTTTGGCGGCATGCGTGTCCAGGGCTTATAGAGTTTTGGGCTGGTGATCTCGGGCATGTCAAACCGTAGGACTGCGGGTCATGTGGCTTCCAATTCTTAGCGCTTGTGCTGTCATAGGAGGCCAAAAGGGGTTTTAGCCTATGGGGGTTTAGTAGGGATGAGGGTTCCCATAATAGGGTTCATAAATTAAGGAATCCCTACCCCAAGAATCTTAAACCCCCCTTTTGGCCTCCCATCATGCTGGCTTGAAGACTCTGCCTGTAGTCTCCATTGTAGTTCTTTTTTTTGGTTAAGCAAAATCTCTATTACAGGATCCTAACCATAAAACTGGTTAACCAAAAAAAGGAACTAATTACAATGGAGACTATAGGTAGGGCTTAGGGAATACACGCAGGACCTTGCCCATAGCAGGTGGAAGGTGATTCAGGAGGCGGTGTGTTGAAATGCTGGCTGGAGCAGGAGTTCACCAAACCCGCATGCCGGTTTTCACACCAAGCCCTAAACCCTAAACCCCTAAACCCTAAACCCTAAACCCTAAATTCAATTTAGTTGGGCTGGGTTCTGGAGTACCATATGCTTTAATCCTTTGCTTGGACCTGCTCCTGAAAAGGAGCCATTGTGAAGTATAAGTCTGTACTTGAGGCGAGATCCTGACAGCATGTCCTTGGCTGGAAATGCTGCTCAGCTGAAGCATGGCATTTCCTGAGGGGCTTTGGGGTTTACAGCGCTTGGGGGGGGGTCCGGGAGTTAATATATGGAGGTCTGACCAAGTGGTAAAATCTGAGCTCGTACGATATTGTGTGCCAGAACCCTTGTCCAACTAGTAAGGCTCTTAGTTAAGGTTGGCAGCATCGTGGTTGATTTCGACAGGGACGCAGCGGCAAGCCCAGACCCTCCCCCTAAGCCCCAAAAAGTTTAAGCCCCGGATTTCACCGAAATCCGGCCCCACTTTAGAGTATAACGCCTATAAACACTATTCACTTAGGGGTTTCCATTCTATAAACAGTACCTACTTCGGGGTCTAAAGTGAATACATCGTACTTGCTTGCGGCTAGTTGAAGCACCGAAGCTAACAGAAGCCATGTTTATAAGGGGAAAAGGAGGGACCCTTAATGGGGACCCCTACGTAAGGGTATATACCTAGGGGTCCTTATTAAGGGTCCCTCCAGCTTCCCTTTGAATGTTGATAGATCCCGAGGCAGGCACCCGGAGCGAGCCTGGCGACACCCGCGAATCGGACTCCGCCATGTTGAGCCAGGAGTTGAGGTTTGCCTACACGCCCTTTGGCTTTGGAGGCTATACTTGGAGGTTCATGGGTAGTTGTAAGTAGGGTTATAAGTAGGATAACTATACTTATAACCCATATTGGGGGACTTATAACTCCACTTATAAATACCCCTGAACCTCCAAGTAAGATTTACGGTAGGTTTGGGTTCCAGGGTTTCCGAAACCTTGAGCCCGAGCCTTATACAAAGTGTTGGGCGTGGAGTTCTCTGGATCGGAAGATGAAGTTCCAAGAGACTCCAATATCCCTTAATCCCTGGCATATTCAACAATTAAGGGATATTGGAGTCTCTGGGTTCGTCTCGCAAGAATTCCCTGAGCCCCGAGTAGGTATTGCTTATCGACTGTAGACGCCAAAGTGGGTCCTAATTGTATGCTTGGAGCTTTGGGAATCGGCTGTAAGCGCCCACTAGCTAATTTTGGATGGTTCGGGGTTGCTTTGGGTTGTAGGGTTTAGGGGGATTGCTTTACCTACACACGGAGAACCCTTGTGCTTGTGCTGGGCATGGTCTTGGGGCTCAGAAGCCCAAGGAACGGATCCGTGCAGATATTCGAAATGTAAGGTCTGCTTAGAACAGGATTTGGGGGGCAGTTAAAGACCCTTAACCCTAAACCAGGGTAGCTGTTTCCCAGGCACCTCGCGTCACCTTCCACCGACCCAAACTTATTCCAAGACCGAAGCAGCTATTCCCGAAGCCGCAGCCTAGATTCCGTGTTGTGTTTCCAGTCTGAGTTCCATCGTACCTCAGGGACCCAACAAAGCACAAAAGCATAAGTATTTGTTGGGGATGTCCCTACCTGCTTGGGCTTCATTATAGGGGGGTTTATGGGATATCCCTATCCCAGTTGTTGCTTATGTGCTTTTATGGGGCCCTAGTACCGGCTTGTGTCTGAGGTTTTACTGCAGGAGTATGCAGAAGCCGGCGCAGGCTGTGCAGGCGGCGCTATTGAGGAGTAGGGTCAAGCCCATGGTTTGGATTCGGTGGATTACCATCCCAAGCCCTCAGGTTCCATGTACCCAAATAGTATATACTTTGAACGTAAAGTAATCCCTAAAAGGGTGGTTGTCAAGATTAGGGTCCCTTTTTTGGGTACTCTAAATAATAGGTGCCGTATTATAATAGGGACCCGAAAAGGGACCATGATTTTGACAACCACCTATAGAGGTACTTTGGGCCAAAGTTCGGCCAAAGTATAAACTATTTGTGTTCGACCCCCGGGGGCTGCCCCAAACCCGAACCCCATTGTTTGCACTGCCAGCCTTTTGGGCTGGTCTGGTACTTCGTGGCAATTTGGGGGCTCCCTGATAAGGGTGTGAGTCGAGGTCCAGGTGTTGTCGTATCGAGTGGAGGGCACTTGTGGAGGAGTGAGGTGACTTCGATAGGAAACGGGTTATTCTGCTAAGCTTTGAGATTGATTCTTCGGACATGGTTCGCAAAGTTTAACGAACGGCCTTTGGTTGTCCAAGCTTAGAGAGGTTGATTCCATTGCTTTTGCGGCCCATTTCCGGTATGTGGATTTGGGATCCATAAATAGCTGCAGGTTTGATTTGTCAACCGGCCACTCTCAAGATCCATGTGCTCCGCTAGACCCTGCACCTGCACCGCTACCCCACCAAAATAGGACCTGAAATTTGAAGGCCTGGTACACTTGAGCCCCTCATAAATCGCGCGAAGCGCTTAAATGCCAAGCCTTTGCCTTGACTTACTGGTGCTAAATGGGGAGGGGGAGAGAGGATCCCTATATGGGTACTTGTCAATATTTGGGTCCCTTTTTGGGTAACCTAAATATTAGGTGCCGTACCATATTAAGGACCCGCAAAGGGACCCTAATTTTGACAACCACCCAAAAATTTTAATCTCGCAAAATCCCTCAGTCCCTATAATCCATACCAAACCTTTCAACCTATAGGTTGAAAGCCAAACTAGGATGGGCGGGGCGCAGAAGCGACTTCAAAACAATCCTACCCTAGGGCTCCAAGGAAACCAATAGTTCCTACTTTGGGGTCTAAATTACAGTTGGGGTCTAAAGTTTAGAAGTAGAAATATGTGGGCGTAAATAAATAATTACCTATACCATTTTTTCGGGTCCTTTTTACAATCATAGTATAACGGGCCCCAAAACCCTATTCTAACTATTAAGGCTCCTATATTACCTTTTTTGGGGCTATTTGGATCCCCACTTGGAGGTTCAGGGGTAGTTATAAGTAGGGTTATAAGTCCCCGTATATGAGTTGTAAGTATAGTTACCATTATAACCCGACCTTGGGATCCGAAAACCTACCGTTTTAAAAGGGTTCTACCCTCAAAATAAGGGGTCAAACCTACTATGTTGTAGGGTTTGGGGATACAGGTACTAAAAGCTACCCATGAACCTCCAAGCAGGGGCCCAGCCTTAGTTTGAAGGCCGCCCTGATGAAGCACGAAGTCGACCCGCAACACCTGCATTGCAGCCTCTCGGCGCAGACTTTCCCAAAGGGTCCAAAGTACCTTTATAGTAGAATGTAGGGTTTCTATTAGGAAATACTATAATGATTTGGGGAAGTATCCCCCATAACAGAACATCGGACCCTTCGGTTTGGGTTCGCAGGCGTCTGGGCACGTGGCTTGGGGACTGAGGCTGTGGCGTTCTTTGTCCTCGGAAGTCTGGGTGTTAGGGTTTAAGTGATGAGGCTTACCCCGAGACTCCAATAACCCTTAATTAAGGAATATACCTCAAATCATATTGGGGATCCTACCATAATTTAAGGTATATTCCTTAATTAAGGGATATTGGAGTCTCTGGGTATGGGTGCTTAGTCGGTTCGGAGAGCGGGTTAGGGTGATAGGTTTGAGGGTTCATGGCTTTGGTCACAGGGTGTCCTGAATTCGATTGAGGTTTTGTTATAGTATTCAAGAGTTGTCTTCGGTGCTGATGTTTCTGACGTTTGAGAGCATGGGAGGGATCTGGGATGCGGGACGCTGCGGGACTCTGAATTCTGGCTTTAAGGCTTAGATCTTAAGATAGACGGCTGTAGGTCGCCGGGGTTTAGGGTTCAGGATTTGAAGAGGGTTTCTAGTTTCCGGACAGTATAACAAGACAGCAATGAGTGTGACATCTTGGACCACGATAGGCTATCTTCAACACCGTCTATAAGGTTGTACTTTTTCAGTTGTGGTAATTGTCCATGTCCTCGGTAAGACAGGCAAGCGTGTAGTAACTGTGTAACTGTAAGTAATAGTTGCGAAGACTGACCCGTCTTTCGCGGGCGATGATATTCACAACACCTTGATATATGGGTCCGTAAGCATCATCATGCTTTTGCAACTTATTGCAGTATTTCTTAAACCCCAGACCCGAAAACCAGCTCTCCCCCCACAAGTAGCCTAAGTTTGAAAGCCAATGCCGGATTGCACCAACCTGGAACTCTAAGCCCAACTTCAACGCCACACTCTTTTCACCAAGGCGTTTGTCGGCAGATCGCTGTGTTCGGCAGTGAGGCCATTCCGCCAAATTTGTTCGCGGCCCACCTCACCAGTCAAGCACACTTCATGAACCTGCAGAGGCGCGCCGTGGCTTTGGGGTCTAGGTGAATTCGCGATTGTACACTGAGATGGGTGGTTTCAAGCGGAGTGTGGCTTCAGAACGCTGTTAGCCCTGCTTATTTCTGAGCCTGAAAACCTCCAGCAGTCGTCTGCCACTGCAGAGCACATTCGTTCGGGTAGGCAGCAGCCGCCATGACCCCAAGCTTGCGAAGCCTGCAACACACAACAGGGGCAAATCGTGGTCGCCCGATTTTGTTGCCGTGAGTGCAGGATGTGACGGGGAACGTCTTAAGCCGTAAACCCCTAAACCTGAAACTCAACTCTCTAAGCACTTCGGCCCTTTTCCATCCTCTTGGGTCTCTTTGGAGCCCCTTCCCGGCTTCTTCACGTTCTTGTCCAAATCCTCGCAGAATGCGAAGGGACCAAGATGTCGTTTTCGAGCCCAACACAAATGTTCGCAGCAATACTGCCGAAGTTTTCCTAACACCCATATTCGTATTTGTTAAACCGCAGCAATCATGACAGCTGTCGCACTGATTGCATTAACAACAATGGTTAGACACGACACCGGTAGCACTGAGCGGCATGGTAGTTCATTACACACGCACTGCTTTGACAAAGTCGGCGTCCGTTGCATCATTCGTCCGCTGCGGGTACTTGGAGATGTGGTTCTCAAGAAGCCCCCAAAGGGTCCCAGGTACTGTTATGGGGGCAAATACTTTCCCAAATCATAATCACCATTCCCATCAGAGAAACCCGACATTCTATTCCAACCCTTGACCCTAGACCCCAACGTCCACTTAGGTAATCTATAGTCTCCATTGTAGTTCTTTTTATTGGTTGACAAGTTTTATGGTTAGGATCCTATAATAGAGATTTTGGTTATAACAACAAAGGAACTACAATGGAGACTATAGGTAGGTACTTAGGACCGTTTGGGAAACATTAAACCCCACTGCAGCTCTTTGGGCCGTCGTGACGGCATCTGGACACCATCCTCGCATCTGCCCTATCCAAAGCGTCATTGTTGTCACTTCATGTGATGATTGTTGATTAATTTAGTCTTTAGGGTTTACCTTAACCCTGAACAACCTACCTTTTTGGGGTCCCTTATTGTGATTTCCTTATATACGTCCTTAAAAATGTAGGTTCTTCCGGGTTAAGGTAGGGCATCCCTGTATGGACCCGGTCAAAGCCATCTCACTTCCAGCTCCTACTGCAACAGAGCAGGGTTTACTTGGAGGTTCATGGTTAGTTATAAGTATGGTCATAAGTCCCCTAATATAGGTTATATTCATGGTTACCCTACTTGGGGGTTGACAATACTACCGGGTAGTCCCTTGTAGTCCCGAAAATCCATGCATTTCCATCTTGCACGACCCTGTTCTGATTCCTCATGCCTCTATACGAATTGTCACTTTGAAAGACTTGGAGCAACTTGAAATGTCTGTCTGTAACCGACAGGCTTGTCGTCTACAACGAAGAGGGAGAGCCACTTTGCTGGAAGGTCTTTAGTTAGCATCACGCGGTGTCCACCATCCAGAACCTGCGACACTGGTAGGCAACTTATGTCATAGGGAAGTACCCTCTCTCTGTATATTGACATCTATATATGATGTATATGCGCATAGATACATATATAAACACTGGACCATGTTTTTGATAACTCGAATTAATTAAGCTCTTCATAAGGAGCCTTGTCAGTCAGGACTCGACATGTCTTACTCACGTTTCGGAGTGTCCCAAATATGGACCCCGAAACATATATATATATATATGGACTGAAATATTTCGGTTCCTTCTTCCCAAAGATGTCCCGCCCCCCTCCCTGGCCGCAGACGAGCATTCCAGCAATGCAGAGGCTGGTCGTCCTCAAGACTTGTGCAAAGAGTCTTTTCTACAGCGCTCGCAAAGGTTCCTCCCTCTGTGAGTCTCCAGGGTGCCAGGGTTAGTTTTTGGCCATGTGCTCTCATGGCAAGATTCCACGAACTGCGAGGAGCATTAGGGCCTCAGAGTGATGCACAGACCAGAGAGCGATGTGGGCCGCCGTGGCATTCGGAGCCATAGTCACATTTTATGCAGATTTTGCATCAAGTAACCAGGCATGTTGAAAACATGGGTCATGAGAAAAAGTAGACGCGAAATAGGAACCCTGAATCTCGCCACCCTTTGGTTTGCGAACTTTCGCGGGGATATTCGGCGTGTTGTTGGCATCTCCGAGTTGGGATATCGCATCTGAGCTTAATTTTCAGTTAGAGCCTTCGGTTTCAAGGACGTCGTGTTTGATTTGAAGGTTTAGTTTTAGCTTCTACCCTTAGTTTGGACCCGGTCATCAAGCGCCGCAGACCCCCATCTTGACTGCTACCGACGTTCTTACTCGTGAGTTCTTTGACCAGAAACCCTTAACCGAAACTAGCCCCCGAATTAACCGTGAGGTTTGAGAAACTCCAGCCCCTAGCTTTCACAGCTTCAGCTCGATCTTAGGCTGCAGCCCTTCGAGCAAGAGTTCAAAACCGCGAAAGGCAGGGAGCTTACCTTCCTAGGGGTTTAGGGTTTACGGCTTCAAGATCTTTTTATCTGGCTCAGATACTATCCAGTAAGCACTGCAGGGCTTATTAGGGGGCCGAATCAGAAACGAACCTGAAGGTGTCGACTTTTCAGGGTGGAAGGGCTGCGGGAATAAGCTGTAGCATCAGTGGGAAGTGTTGACGAAAGCTGGGGGGTCACTCACCCTCTGGGACCTGCAGGGCGTAGGGTGTTAGCATTTAGGATCCAGGTTGAAAGATGTCATAGTGAAGTGTATTAATTAACCCTAAACCCTAAACCCTAAACCCTATTAGGGAGACTGTTGTGTTGCCTTCGAGGTCGAGCCGGGTTTTGTCTGACCAAGGTTGGTGTTGCGGCCCAGACCGAGATGGTAAGGGGCGTGTTTTTTAGGCAAGAACTATAACTTTGTCATAGCTGGGTACATTTTTCATTTTTATGTGTACTTAAACCCAATAAGGAATACACATGTTATTTTAATCCTATCCCAACCATGAACTAGATAAGAATTGCCCAAGAGGTCTGTTAGCACACCTGTTACTATCTGCAGCAACTTGGGCTTCGGACCGGCGGGCCTTTCAGGGCGCATGGCCCCCCCCCCCCCCAAGGAAATTTTTCCATCTTTTGAAATCACCCTCCAGTACTTACAGGGTCATAGGGTAACTATACTTGAAGCTGCTAAGCCCAATCAGGGTACTTATAACCATTCTTCCTAAGTCCCATGACCCTGGGAGTAAGCTTCTTCAAAGGCCTGGCTTCTGAGGATCCCCTCATACTTGACTCGACAAACCCCAAGCTCTGGTCGCAATTCGAGCGCATGTTTTACAGGCAGTGTGACCAACGGGCGAAACCCTAAACTTAGTAGCTGAGTGGATACACTTTACACCTTTTGGGATATTACTACCCACTAATTGTAAACTGAAAGGCTGAAAGTGTACATTTTTGGGGGGTTGTGACCTCAACAACTAAGTAAACCGCCTGTAAAGCCAAACTTCTGAACCTGACGCCGGAAAGCCCTAAACCCTAAGCCCTAAACCCTAAGTCCTAAACCCTAAGCCCTAAACCCTAAGCCCTAAACCCTAAGCCCTAAACCCTAAGCCCTAAACCCTAAAAAAAACCCTAAGCTTGAGCCGCCAGACTTGGTAAACCCGAACTCACCCGCCGCTTTGCACAGGAGTGGGCCTCACCTTGGACTATGCGAATCTCCAAATCACTGCGACGCGTTTGCATCACGGTTTGGGGGTCTACCCATAGGCTCCATAGTAGCTCCTTTTTGGGATTACCTTACAGGATTCTATATATGAACCCCAAAAAGGAACTACTTTGGAGCCTCTAGGTAGGACGGGGCTTGAGTACAGTGAGGTTGCTGCAACTATCCTGAACCGACACGCGGCCCCTACCTAGACCCCCAAAGTAGGTAGAATAATGCCCCAAAGCCTATAAAAGGCCATTATTCTACATACTTTTGGGCTCCAGGTAGACAGGCTTGCCAACCCGAACAGAAATCTGCGCAACTTGTAGTCTTCATTCAATCAATAACCCGCATAAAGTCGTTACCGAATCCCAATTTCTGCAAGCCCCGAAGCCTATAACGCATGAAGCCTAAATACTCACGGCTTGCGCACCCTTGTAATGGAGCCCTGGACCATAAACAAAAATTGCGTGCCACATTCGTTTGGCAGGGTTGCAGTTTGTCACGTGTGTTCTGTTCGGCTGTTTCCTACTCTGAGGGTTAGGGTGCTTACGAAGGTTTAGCTCGAATTGTGTTTCGGCTTGGGTATTACTTGGAGGTTCATGGGTAGTTATAAGTAGGGTAACTATACTTACAACACATATTAGGGGACTTATAGCCCTACTTATCACTACCCCTGAACCTCCAAGTAGATTTAGGGAGTAAAACAAACCGTGTCTTTTTTTGGATGCGGGTGCGGGGGTGGAAAGACGTTTTGTTTGGAGCTATTGGGGCTAAACTGGCTTGATGGGAAGCTTCAAAATCCATAAACTGAGTGACTGAGTAGGTAGCCTTTAACCTTTTTGGGTTTACATAATAATCCTACCATAGTTGAAAAGCTTCAATCGCAGTTTTGAGCCGGGGTACTCAGCCCCTAACTAAAGCTTTTGGGAGTTGCACAGAGTGTCGATGGAGGGAGTATCGTCTGGCCCGTATACCGTCTGGGGTTAGTAGGGAACGGGGGAATGGATCCCTATAGCTTAGGGGTACTTAGAAAGACTTGTTAATGGTTGGTTCCTTTCATCCCTAAGAAACAGCTAAACTTAAGTTGTGTTGTTTGCTAGGGGTCTATGTAAGTTCAGTAGAGATAGTAGTATATATATATATATATATATAATCCCGAATAGTAGTCTTCATAGTCCATTCCCCGATTCCCTACTAACAACCAGACAGCCTACCGGATCTAACATCTGGTTTGGCTTCCAGCAGCATCGGTTTACTTAAAGGGTCATGGGACTTAGTAAGTATGGTTATAAGTACCTTAATTGGGGTG